TGCTTCTCTCACCAAGTCATCTCAGCCCTGTGCAGAGAGACTGGCAATTACCCCACGGCTTTGGGTGCTATAAAACAGAGCCTTGAAAAAAAAAAAAACAAGACAATCATCAAATTTCCAGTGTAGGAGGAAAATCTGTCTGTTAGGTTTGCACACACACACACACAATATCGGGGCTGTCAGTGCCTAAAGGCAGCCTCACATCCCTCTAAAACACAAAGGCACACTGAGTTCTCCTCTGCCTGATCCTTCCCAGCGAGCAGGAGCTGAGCAGGACCCATCACACAGCAACAAAGGCTGACAGAACTACCGATTTGGGATTTTGTTCCCCACGGTTTTTATTCCACCATGCAATTTGCATTACAACGGGATCCTAATTGTCCATTTTAGCAGGCAAAGAAAAATCTGATACAGATTGTAATGCTTGAGGTGAAGCAGCAGTGTCACAAAATAGGTGCTACCAGGCACAGGCTCCTGTCTCCAAGGGCTCTGACACCAGGGCAGCTCGGATTTAACATGAATTAATTCCATGCCTGGAATTAACATGATCCCAAAATAAGCAGGACAGTGGGAGGCTGCTTAATCAAAGCAAAAGTGCAGGAAACCCTTTCATCAGGGTTTCCTGACAGCCGTGAGTGTCTGAGGCAGTGAAGTCCTGACAGCCCCACTGAGAGGGTGCCACTGGGACAACACCTGGGAAGTGACACATTCAGGGCCAGCACAGCACCATGACCTGGCCTGGGGGCCCTGGGAGGGAGAAAAGAGCCCCTGGAAAGCACCTTTGATCCTGGGAACCCTGGGAGGTGCCAAGGCCCAAATGGCCTCAGCAGCATCTGAGGTAGCACAGCAGAGCTGCCGTGGGCACAGAGCCCCAGAAAGCAGCATGTGGCCCTGAAAAACGTGCCATGTGGCTGAAATCCTGGTAGGAGAGCACTTCCAGGAGGGAATGCCACACAGCCAGCCTGGCTAAGAGAGGCTAATGTGGCACAGCTGCCCTGTGCCAAGGGGCCCTGCGAGGAAATGTGGTGCAGCTGCCATGGCCTGGAGAGTGCGGGCAAGTGCTTCTGGGGGAGGGAAATCCATAAGGAAGCCTCAAAGGAGATGTGGCATGGCCTTCTCGAGGCCCTGGGAGCTCAGCCACTGTATGGAACTCTCCTGGATATGGAAAAACCTCGGTATTCCCATGGCCAGCAGGGCAGACTCATTGATTAGAAGGCAGGGCAGGAAATTAAATGAGGCAGGTGAATTAAAGCCAGAACTTCACAGGCTGCATCTGTTCCTCCATTCCCTCTGGGTACGACACTGATGTAACTTTAAAAAGTAAATTTAGTGCTGAGGAAAAATGCCAGGTAAACTGAAACATTTGATGCATCCGTGTATCGGGTACAGGAGAAGCACAGAGGAGCCAGTGAAACAAGCCCCAGGCTGAGCTGCCCTGCTGGAGCACAGCAGCTGGTGGAGGTGACCTGCCTGGGCCTGTTTTCTGCTCCTGAAGCTCAAGAGGAGCTGGCTGGGAAGGCCTGTCTGCAGGGTGGAGGTGAACAGCAGCAAAGAGCAGTGCTTTGGGTAATCCTGTCCATCGTGCCCCAATGACAGCAGGATCCCAGAGAGAAACACTCCTGACAAGCAGAAATCCCTCCCGTGGAGCAGCATTGTGAAGTTGTGAACTTCTCCATCTTGCAATAAGCTCAAGGCTGTCACACAGACTCCTCCCACACCTTCCAGTGCTGGTCCTTGGTTTGTCCACACCTGTGGTCACAGAGAATAAGGCAAACATCCATTTCAGAGCAGTTCTTACTATCAGCATCTTTTTTTTGGTGTTTGGACACACAGCCACAGCCCTATGCTCTGCAGCCTGAAGAGCCTGGCTGGTTTTGATGGACAAACAAGGAGAGACTGGACACCTCAAACAAAAGACTTATTTTTCCACCCAGCTGTGTCCAGAAGAGGATTTGAAGCATCCTTTTGCCTGTTTGCTTGATCAGACCTCCTTGGCCAGACTCAGGTAAACCCCAGATGTCTAAATGACTCTCTAAAAAGTGGCTGCCTCCTGTTCTGAGGGCAGCTGAGTGGTGTGATCCGAGCATTTAGCAAGCATTAAGGATACCTGCAACAGCAGTAAGAGGGGGACAGGGAGTAGGGACAGGCAGTAGAAGAGGCAGGGTAAAAAGTGAGTAAAAGAGGTTGTCCCGCTGCATTCTCTGTCCTGGGAATGCCAGGGAGTGGCATGAAGCTGTGTCAGGGGAGGTTTAGGCTGGATATTAGGAAAAGGTTCTTCCCCCAGAGGGTGCTGGGGCACTGAACAGGCTCCCCAGGGCAGTGGGCACGGCCCCAAGGCTGCCAGAGCTCCAGGAGTGTTTGGACAACACTCTGAGGGACAGGGTGGGATTGTTGGGGTGTCCTATGCAGGGCCAGGAGTTGGACTGATGATCCCTGTGGGTCCCTTCCAGTCATCTTCCATGATTCTCTCACTAGACAGTTGCACAGTTCTATTTGCAAAGCATTAAACAAATTTCTTGAAGGAAATGACATAATGAAGAGGCAAGTGAAGAAAGAAAACAGTCAGCTCTTGCTCCTCAGAGCACAGCCCCTGTTCTTGGGTATCACTGGATTATGGCACAGAGGAACAAAACAGAAACACCTCAAATAGATTAGTTTTACCTCATTTTATGTTGGTCCTGTGGCTCTTTCCAGGTGGTTTTTCTTTTCCTAACTTCTTTTTCCCATGTGATAAGATCCATCATTTGAAGGACAGCAACCAAACCAGCTCTTCCTGCTCTGAAGAAAGGCAGCAACTGCACTTAGAATAAAAGATTGTCAGGCAGATTTGAAATGTCAATCAAAGCCTATCACTGAAAAAAACATTAACCCAGGCAGCTCCCCACACCACCACAGTTAATTTAGTCTTTCCAGATATCCCCCTGAGCTGCAAAAAGCCTTCCAGAGCTGACCAGAGCTGCCAGCTACAGGCAGGAGGTGTTAAGAGTAGATACTGAACCTAATTCAGCTCAGGTCAGTTTGCTTTTTGCAGAGCAAAAGACTGTGATTATCAAGTCCAGGGAAGTAAATCCTGGTCTCCCAGGTTTTGTGAGGCAAACTGTACCTTTTACTAGAAGAGGGGCATAGATTTAGGGCTCTGTTGCTGAGTGTGTCCCATCTCCAGTGGCACACATCCACTTTAGTGTTATTATTATCATTTTAATCATTATTTATGACTGCACCTAGGGCTGTGCGAGGCACTTTCCAAGCACTCAGGAAAGTACTGGCTCTGCTCCAAGAAATTCATTATTCCAGGGACAGACGGACGTGCAGAGGCGCCGCATGGCCAAGTGGCAGAACTGCTGACCCAACAGCACCAGCTCTTCCCTGGGCTCCTGGATTGCTGGTTGACCTTGGAAAAGTCATATTCCTTCTTTCCATCTTAGTCCCATCCCACTCTTTGTCCAGCCCAGTTGCCTGGACTGAAAGATCTTCAGCCGTGACAAAGCTCACGTGTTTGTCTCAGAATCTCTTTCTGTGCAAAGTCCAAGGATGCACTCAGGGAAATATTTTTGTCCCCTGGAAAAAGGAAAAGGAGAAAAATTCTGTTTTCCACGGCGTTTCTTCAAATGCTGGTGTCGGGAAAAAAAAAAGAATCAGATGTTTCCTCGTGGCCAAAAAAATTCAGTTGCAAAACAGAAAAGGCAGGTTTGGGGGGTTTGGTTAAGACAGTTGCCAGTCCTTGGAATTTTCTAGGGAAAGTACTGTAGTGGTTAGTGAAACATCCATTTTTTTTCCTGAAAATAAGTTAGAACCTAAAAAACAAGTTGTTCTGTGAGCAGGGAAGTGGTGAAACCCGTTCTCCTTCTGATTTGTGTATTACAATTGCTTTTTATTTCTTCCTTTCTTGGCGCTCCCAGCTCACTGCAATATCCCCAGGGCACCTCATCCCCTCCAGGCCTCCCCAGCAAAATCCTCAGCTCTTCCAGCAGCTTCTGGCTTTGCAGGGAAGGGGCAGCGAGTGCAGGGGCTGGTTTGAAGCTGGGCAGGAACTGATTTACCAGCCAGATCTAAATGCCAGCTGGTCACCTGGCTGCTGCATCCCAAAATAGATAAGGAGCAAGAGGTGTAATTACCTTTCCTTCAGCAGGATATTAACTTAAATGTCTCTCTTCTATCCAGCTGCTGTTTGTTCATGAAAATTGCAGGGATCTTGGGTCTGTGAGACCTCTCTCTTTCCATCAAATTGGGTTGAATCAGGTCAGCTGGTTCAGAAGTTGTTGGAGCAGGGTGGGGAGGGGGAGCTGGAGCACAGATGGAGAACACAAGGAGGCTCATTGTCTTATAAACTCTGACTCAAAAATGAGGCAGTTTTGGTGTAACTATGAGTTGCTGAGGTCAGGGGAGGTGGCCACCATAACAGAGACCAGCTAGTCCCTGGCCTTTGGATACACACAGGCTGCCAAGCTCCAGGATTGTCTATAGTGCACTTATCACTTATTGGGTGTACAGAGCCTTCAACCTAAAAATTGGGGCCTCACTGCATAGAAAGTGCTCCAGAGCACAAACCTGAGCCATTTACAGCTGGATGGATAAAGAATAGAAGAAAGGGAAGAATAAATTATCTCACATTTACAGGTAGGAAAGCAAAGGCCAAGATCAGCAACTTCCTGCAGAATCCTGAGAGCGAGTTGGAAGGAGGCCCAGATGTCCCATGTCCCCATCCAAGGCCTCAAGCAAAGTCCACCCCAGCTGATTCTCACTCCACTGCCCAGGGAGAAGTCCCCTTTCCTGGGCATTGCACTGATTCACTGCCCTCAGGAGCTGAGTCAGTCTTACCCACACTCCTCTGCTGGCAGCTGGGAGCACATGGCACACTGATGAGGAAACCTTACTTGTTGTTTTGTTTGGGTTAATTATTCATGGGCACTGTGCTGAAAACACTTGGAGCTGCTTTCTGAACAGTCCTTGAGCTGGTGTGTGGGGAGGGACTTACCAACACTGGTGGCCAGGCTGCCTTTCCATGGCCAAGCTCTCTTCCATCTGCTTCCCTTCAGCCCTTGTCACACTCCCCGTCTCTCATGGCTTTGGCTCTGCTCCTTGGCATTATCTGAATAAGAAAGAGGCAAATACTTGGAGCACTGTGGACACACAATCAAAAATGGCATTTGACCAAGGAGGCACTGACCCAACGTGGAGAGAATATAAACCTCATTCTCTCCCTGGTTTGGTTCTTCAGTCACGCTGTAAAATTGAGGATAAGCCACTTGCAGGGTTTCAAACCTGTTTATCCTTCCACAGAAGGTGCCTTCAGCCTCCTTCAGATAATCCACAACTGTCTGGAAGCCTTTTCCCCATAATCAAGGCTCTTCCTCTTTAGTGCATGCTGCTGGAAATCCATTTTTCATCTTGGAACAAGGCAGTCTGTAGCTTTAGAAGCACTTTGAGAATGTTTACAGTAAGGCAGAGCTTGAATTGCTCTGCCTTAGCAGAGCCCCAGGCATTAGCACTAAATGGCTTTCTCGGGTTGTGGGTCCATCAACATTTTCTGACAGGGGTACAGACCCTGCACAGAAGGCTTAAGCTTAGCAAAAGTAGAATTCCTTTCTGAGTTACTCTTCTGAAAACCCTTAGAAATCATCACAGCTACTCCCTGGGGTCTCCAGAACAGAGCCTAAACTCTTCCAAGATTCTAGAGGTACCTCTTCAGGGCTGGGGTTTGCTCAGAGAGCTCATTATCCCACCTTGGACTGCAACCAAGGTTCTCATGGCCCACAGCAGCTTTACCAGGCAGCCACCCCACCCAGCCGAGCCAGTAAGAGCAGGGCTGAGTCTTCTGACTCCTGTGAATTGCTGTTTGCAATTATGCAGACGAGAAACTGAGCCTGTGCTGCAAATATTTCATCAGGTCTTAGAGAAGTTCAGAGTTTATGGGGTGGGGTTTTTTGTTGGGTTCTAGCAAAGGATCAGTCTAGTTAGGCTGATATCAGTTGCTGTTTGTGTTGTCTGTAAAACCCAAACCAGGATTCATATTCCAGCATTTGCTTCTTCACTTGAAAATCTGGAGGATTGTGATGGCCAAGGGTTTCCGTGAGCACACCCTGTAGCACATCTGCCCCATAAAACACCAGGACACAGGAGAGGGGATTTATCCCAACGGGGTAAAAGTCTCACCTGGTATAAACCAGCACTGCAGAGAAGTCCAGGAAGCTGGGCCATATCACACCAGAAAGGAATCTAGTTTAGGATGTACTTTCCATTCATTAATTCTTTACCTAGAGCCAAGGCAGACCCCCAGGGGACACATTAGCTTGGTTTCATCTCCTGCAATCCCATGTGACTGCACAGGGAGGAATTCAGATCCTATGGACCACGTTCTCTGTTGATGCAATACCCTCTGCTTTTGTTAAATGAGCTGCTTGGGCTGAACACTAAGTGAATGAGCTAAATACAGGTGTCACTGTCTGGCCTGTACACTGTGAGAGGTCAGCAGAGGTAACTGCACCGGTGCTTTCAGAACTTAAAAATCACTTAACTGAGTCCACCAACAGAGAGCTTGGCCCGTGAGTAATACACATAAATACCTCCAGCCACAGAGATGCAGTCAGCCCCCCACCTGGCTGTTGCCTCAGTAACACATCTCCAGGAGGATATTTTTTAAGCCAGCATTATTTATCTGGTAGATGGAAATGGGCCTGTTAAGGCCACACCAGGTCAGCATATGTCTAAGCATGTACTGAAGAACTTAATTAGTTCTCCCTGAGAAGAGAGACTCCCAGTGCTGTTTAAAGGATCGTTATCCTACTGCGAGATGCCTCGGAGCCTGCTGCTAGGCCTCAGCTTAACAGGGCAAGGCTGCAGAAGTTGGATGGGGGTGAAAAGTCTCCCCACCATGCTGAGGAGCAGCTGCTGAACAGCCCCAGAAGCAGGAGGGTTGGTGCAAGGAGGAGGCATTACAAAACCACACTGAAACCCAGTGTAGAGAACGGAATTCAGGTCCGAGCTGTCCTGTTGCCTTTCGGGGTCAAACAGTGTAGATCTCATTATTCTGTCGGTCTCTAGAGATCCAGTGTTCCCTGCTTTGCTGTGGCTGCTTCCCAGGGAATTCCAGTGAGAGTGAGCAGGGCTGACAGGCCAGTGGAGGGTTGTAAGTGTGGAGTGAGCCACTGCTGGGTGTCTGCCATTGATCCCTGTGACATCCTGTAGGCAGGAGTTTAATGTCCCCGAAGCTGGACCTTGTGCAAGTGGCTCAAACATAGTTTTCCTTTATGAGGCCAAAAATCAGAGGCTGTAAACTGAATGCCAATAAGGGAATGTGACAGGCTCCCCGAGGATGGATGGGTTTGTTATTCTGGCAGGAGATAGAATATCCATTCTTCAGTGGATGGACTTCTGGCAAACTTGGCTGAACTGCCTCTGAAGGATAAAACAGGGTCCCAAGCATGTCAAAGCTTGTTTAAGGACTGGCACTCACCAGGGACACTGAGGCTGGATTGCAGGAGAGGGAGAATCCTGGACATGCTTGTTTTGACCTAAGAGTGGCTGATATACCACGTGAGACCTTGGTCTGCTCCTGGAGCTGTCAGGAGCTGTTCCTAGGTGAGTTGTTATGGTAACTGAGCTAATGCCCTGAGATAGATGCTTTCAGGTGGCTCCAGGCCAGCAAATCAACACCAATAGATTCCAGATAATAGACTTCTGCTAAACTCAATGCTGGCATCTACTTTATTTAACCTATTCACCAGTGACTTCCTGAACTCCATTCTCTGGGCAAGCCATATACGATGACAAAAGCTGCTCGGCCTCAATGAACCTCGGCTTCCAAAAGGCTGAGGGAACCCATGTGCTGTGGCCGAGTCTGTGCCAGTAAATTAAATGTGCCTGGGACTTTCTCCTGCACTGAGGGGACAGCTGGCACAGAATGGCCAAGGATTCTGTATTAAATTCCTACCCCCAAGCCTGTGTGGAAACATCCAGACGGCCCATGAGGAGCAGTCTCTGGCCCATGCTGGCTCCTGAAAGGCCCCTGGACTGGGCCAAAAGTGCAGTGCAATACTCCAGCATTGTAACAGAGAGCTGTCCAGGCACTGCTTAATTTATTAGGACAGACCTTGCCTGGGTGACTGAGCAGGAAAGGAGCCTGGAACCAAGGGCCAGGGCTCTGTCAACCTGTTTGTGCTTATACCACATCCAGATCCTTAGGAACGGGCAGTGACAAGGATCCAGCACATCGAGGGATCACTCTGGATCACCCACTGACATCCTCTGTTCGAAACAGCTCCTGGGTTAAGAGGTGGATTCACCAGTTCAAGGCAATATCCCTCCATCTGCCATGAAACATCAAAACACAGCCAACAAACGACCAACAGGGAGCAGCTGATTCCACACACCCACCATCCAGCACTGCTGCTGACTGTCCCAAGGCGTCAAACCTGGCTTTGGTTGGTACTCCACAGCACGCAGCCAGCAAAGAGCGGCACAGGAAACTCAGGAAGAGCCGTGCCAGTTTCAGGAACTCCCACAGCACCACCAGACCAGCCGAGCAGCTCCCTGGCTCTGGGGCCCTGCGCCGCCTCCGGAGCGAGCCAAACGGGTTCTGCCGTGGCGTGGTCCAACAGTGCCAGGGCTGAGCACGCCTCGGGCACTTGGGACAGCCCGTGCATGCCCGGGTGGCTGCTCCTGCACCCGAGCTGGGTGGCTGCTCCTGCACCCGAGCTGGGTGGCTGCTCCTGCACCCGAGCTGGGTGGGTGCTCCACTCATGCCGAGACTCGCTGGTGGTCTCCTGTTGGGCACTGATGGCTTGAACAGCACAGGTCACTGAGCTGGGGCATTTCTCTGCTTGTTCATTCCCATTTTAATTCTTGCTTTGCCTGTTTAACCCACTTGCAAAGCATGTTGTTGTAATATGTCGCTCTCTGGGGCAGAGACTGTTTTTCAGCGTGTTCTTTGCTCAGCCTCCACTGCACCAGCACTGCAACCTCAGCCAGCTCAGCACTGGTGTGATTAACAGGCTCTGCACAAGGGGGAATTGCATCCTCAGTGGGTGTGATATTCCCACTTCTGGCCTGCCCATGTGTTTTCCCAGGGCAAGGGGTCATGTTGACTGAACTCCAAAATGGCTTTGCTCGAACTTTTAAACGCTAAGGTCCAAATAAATTCTCAGCATTAGCTAGTACACTGATCCCTTTCCTGCCAAGCTGCTGCCTTAAGTGAATTTTTATGACTGAGTTATAAACCCCAGAAAACACGAGCAAGAAGTGGAAATGCTGACTTGGCCTTTGCTAAATGCCAATTATCTACGAAGGCATTAAGGGGGGAGGGGAGGATGAAAAATAGGGTCATTTTCATGTTTTCTCTAGTTCAAAGCAAACTGTCCCATGAGCCTGTTGTAGGAACACACAGCATGCAGAGTGACCATTAATATTTATGGGCACGACACTGAGCTGCAGACCTTGGCAATCACAGCAACTCCACTTTTGGAATTAATATTGCTCTGCTTGGCTGGCACCTCAGTACAAAAAGGTAGAAAACACCAAGATTTCCAAGGAGAACTGAAGAAGTAGATGCTGACCTTTGATGGGAAGGGTCAATCACTTCACTGGGTCAGTGAAGCACTAAAACCAACTCTCAAGTCCTCAGGGGTGTTGGCCAAACACAGCACTATGTTCTCTCTCCTCTCTTCTCCTGTGGCTCCTGGACAGTCCCAACACTGCACAGGCTGCTCTCCCTGTAGTCCCTGTGGTTACTCACTGTTGCCCAGCTGATACAGACCAGTGTATTTCCAAGGACACCATGGGAGCAACATGGATTTATAATACTAAAGTTCTGCCCAAGTAATCTTAGGGCTCAAATTGGACCTGCAATCTCATTTGCAATGCAGCACCTGCCTTCTCCCACTCTGTATTTGCAAACTCCCAGTGGCAGGGAGAGAGAGAGCCCTCTAAAACCCTCTGAAACCTCTGTGTGCTGAGAATCTGCCAGCTTGCTGAGTCACAACGTGACTCCAGCCCAGGACTGTCCCGAGCAGGGCGGTGACTGCCCAGCCACACACAAGGACATCTCAGAAATACCTGAGAGAATTGTGCTAGGATGGCTCAGTCACCCCCATGAGCCTGTACAGAAATGTGTCCTCAGTTCCTGGGTATTTACCACTGATGCCACACAAAACCCCTCGGGAGTGGCTGAGGTTGTCACAACCCAATCTGTCCTAAAACTCGAGACGAGACGTGACTTCAGGGAGAGACTGACCACTCCCCCACAATGCACCCAGCCCTGGGAAAAGGAATAAGAGATTGGCCAAAGGTGCTTGTCAGGAGCCAGGAAGGTTTTCAGGGAATGCAAGGAGAAAAATATTAGAAATCCTCCTCCCTTTTTCATGTGCTCACAAAAATTGAGCTGGGACTTCGAGCTCTAAATTTTCAAAAATGGCCAGTGACTTCAGGTGGGCACCCTGCACTCAGCACACCTGGGACAGGATCTCCTGGTGAGTTTTGCATTGCTGCAGTTACACACTGCTTTGGCAGCATGTGGGAAGGTGCACAAAATGCTATGGAAATCAGGCATCTGCCAAACGAGCACTCCATCAACTGAGACCCTCCAAATCCTTTTTTACCCCCAAGAATTCAGGCTGTACAATTTAGGAAAATAAATACTGGAAACAACAACAACTAGAAGTGCTCCTGCCATTAAAAACAAGGTGAAAAGGAGGAGCTGAGCCAAGTTAATCAGAGAGCTGAAATGAGATGTTGGAGAAAGGGGCCGTGGGTGACTTGGGGTTTGCAGCGAGCTGAGCGATGTGAAATCTCTTGTGTCTGGCTGAGCTCTGAAAGAAATGCTTTATTAAATCTTCTTTGTGTGAGATTTCAAGCTGCCTCTGGACTGGAAAATAGGACCATTCCAGTATGTGGCATATAATCAGGAACTGAAGTCCTTAGTGCAGGTTTTTCTGCCGAGGAAACTCTGATCAGCATAGACACATAACTCAGAGGGCTCAGGATTGAGAAAGATGAATTAGACACAACACACCCGTGCATTTCTCCTACCCAGTATCCCCAAAATGCTTCACAGAATTAATCATGCTGGCAGCAACAACCAGGCATTAGGAAAGACAGCACAGGTGGGCATAAATTCACCACACTGAATCGAAACTGTCCCGTGGGCCAGTGGCTCCCAGGTCCATTATCTCAGCTTTCATCCCCTCTGGAACATAATGCTTGCCATGATTGATCTCCTGTGCACTGGCTGTCCTGGGAGTCTCGAGTCTCACCGTACTTTCTGCTGCAATTTGGACACATTTGGGGCAGCTGCAGCCTCTTGCCATCCCTGTCCAGCACCCCTCGATCTCTGCTGTAAGCTGGAGGCTCACAGCTCTTCCCTGTCACAGCAGGGCTGTGCCACCCCCAAACACCTGCAGAAAGTATTTACTACAAAGAAATGGAGAGAGACAGGCACGACAGGAAAGGATGAGGACAAGTGAGAGGTTCCCAGAGCGCTCCCCATGTCGCACAATCTCCCTTGCCCTTTTTCACATCTTGTCTCTCCCTCTGTGCTTGGCCACATAGCCAGGAAAACAAGACAGGACAGGCAGCATCGACCAGATTCCCTCTTCCTCTGTGCCCCTTATTTCATGCTGCAGCACATCTGGATATGAAGAGCCTGGAACCTCAATCCTGCTGGGAATGGCAGGGATCGAGTTCTCGATCTGCTGCCTGCAAACCCCGACAGAAAAGTGTCCCAAGGGGCCGAGACACAGCGAGCATTCCCCTTCCTTTGCGCCGCCCCCGCAGCACACGAGCTCCTTGCCTACCTTTTATTGCTGACAAGGAGGAGGACAGAGCCATTCTGGATGTTGGCCTCTTTGAGAGTCTCATGCTCCTCGAGCTGCCTGGAGTTGTAATAAAATGTCTTCTTCCAGGAGGTGACGCCCTCCCGCACTAAGAGAGCCCGCAGGTCCATCACTGTGTCCCTGGGCCTGACTGTCAGGGGCATCATCAGGTCCTCGTCAGCCAGGTGCACCTTGATGTGGTACCTCTTCCAGCGGGAAAGGCTCCGGCGCAGCGTGTCCATCCTCTCCAGCTCTCCAGGGCCAGCGTGGCAGAGAGGAGCATCCAGCTGGGAGGTCGGCAAGGCAGGGATGTGGCTCCGAAGAGCCTGTCTGCTTCGAACAACTTAAAATGTCCTGCCAAACCTGTTCCTCCCAGTTGTTGCGCCGCATGCTTCGCATTCCAGGGAAGAGCTCACCTGGCTCCATGAGCCTGCTGGCTGGGAAACATCTCCATGAATCATTTCCACACACCCCGAAATCCCATAATAATTACGTCTTCACAAAGTGCTCTTCATGCCAATGGCTCTCAGAGGACTTTAAAGCTGGATCTCCACAGCCATTAGAAACGTGGGTGCGTGTGAGAAATGAATGGGTTTAGCAACCTCGTGTCTCCTGCTCTAAAAAGCTGCCAGCTGGGGGGAAGATCTGTTGGCAAAATAGGCACTTAGGAACTTCACAGCTATTTAACATGGCCATTTGAATGAAGAAAAGTGCACTGCACAGTGGAAAATTAGGACCTCGTTGCGGTCTACAGGTTCCTCATGAGGGGAGGTGGAGGGGCAGCTCCAATCTCTTCTCTGTGGTGACCAGGGACAGGACCCAGGGAATGGCTGGAGCTGTGTCAGGGAGGTTTAGGATGGATCTCAGGAAAAGGTTCTTCCCCCAGAGGGTGCTGGGGCACTGCCCAGGCTCCCCAGGGCAGTGGGCATGGCCCCAAGGCTGCCAGAGCTCCAGGAGCATTTGGACAACACTCTGAGGGCCAGGGTGGGATTGTTGGGGTGTCTGTGCAGGGCCAGGAGTTGGACTCAATGATCCTTGAGGGTCCCTCACAACTCAGCGTATTCTGTGATCCTGTGAAATTCCTCACGGAGGAGAATCAGAGCCCCCTGAAGAGCTAAAGCCTGGCTGTGTGAACACCCCTCACCAGTGCAGATTTCCCCAGGGGGTCTGTACAGTTACTGTACACGAACAGCCTGGGACCCTCCAGAAGGGGTGGGACTCACTCACTGCTCATCATCCCCTCAGATATCTCATATTGACTCACACGTGCTCCTCGTCGCTTCATCATCTTCATTTCCTCTTCCTTTCAGATCCCTGCCTAATTGCAGGGCTGATCGTATCCTGCTCGGCACGTGAGTGGGATCGGCATCACGGGGCTCCAGGCACACCAGGAACACTGGGAACAGAAGCCTCAGAGCACCGAGGGGAACGAGCAATACTTTGGGAAATACAAGGACACCTCCAAAAGGAAGGAAGTGATGCCAGCCAGGAGAGCCGGCTGTACCTGACTGATCCCACAAGGCAGACTCTGGCAGTCACAAGATGATACTTCAGAGCAAACACCATCAAGATAAGGAAGCCTTTTTTTCTCTTTTTCTCAAAAAGATCAAGTCACCCTCTTATCTTGTAGGTAACTTCCTGCAGCCCATATTACAGGAATTAATTCCCTCATCCATTCTTCTTAACACAGACCAGTCTTTTCAGACCAAAGTGCTGCAAGACAGTTGAGTTCAGAGTCTGCTCTTCACTAAAAAGGAGCTGCTCTTGCCCAGTAGATAACAAAACAGCCTGATTTCAGATATGGCAGCTCCCATTGAGAACAAAAGAAGTGTCCACTCTCCAATGGAGGAACAAGGTTTCCAGCCTGTCTTCAAACCTCCCTTTTCCATCCCCAGCACTTTATGTCTCTGCCAAGAACAAGCAGCAAAATACCTCCAGTTACACCACGGGCAGTGGAGATTTTCTTGTGCATTTGGGAAGAACTGAAGCTTCTGCTCACAACGTTTTCTTTCCATCCTGGGTCACTCCGAAGGTATGATTGTTTTGGTGGGGTCTGGGATTCTTGGGTCCTCACTCTGCCACTGACTTGCTTCAAAGGCTTGAGATGAGTCATGTCATGCCTTCGTGTCTCTGTTTGCTCACCTTCTGACACGTGTAACACGTGTCCATAAAGTGCCTTGTGGGGAACAGGAACTGCTTTTAGCACAGTCATGGTCTGGGAGCATTTAAATATGCCTGGATCTGCAGATGTGTCCATAATACTCTCAGGCACATCGTGTGACTCTTGGGGTTGGTCCTGTGCAGGGCTAAGAGTTGGACTCGATGATCCTTGTGGGTCCCTTCCAACTCAGCATATTCTGTGATTCTGTGAATCTTGAAGACACATCACCCCTATCGGAGAAGGAGAAACTGAGGTACAAAGCTGTTGTAACAAAAAAAAAAGCAAAGGTCAGGCTCTGGTCCCATATCCAGGTACCTCAGTGAGGGGTCTCATTTTCAGAGACCTACAGAAACTTGCAAGCCCAGGGCCTGGTGATTCCTCCTCTGTTGGGGTGACATTCACTTGGGGAGCCAAACTCCATCCCTGGTGTGCAGCCAGAGTCTCAGGGGTAAAGCAAGGGTCTGATCCAACTCCCAGTGCCATCCAAGGGCAGACTCTCACTGATGGCAGCCAGACCTGGATGAGGCCCCAGACACACCGAGGTCTGGTGGCTCTGGCCAAGAGGATCTGCCAGGTGAGTGCCAAGGGGAGCATAAGGCATCCTCATCTCAGCAGAGCCTGTCTGGTGTCAGAGAGTCCACCAGCTCCATCCTCCCAGCATACGTGACAGCCTGACAGCTGCCAAAAACCTCCCTCAGACACCTTTCAGACAGATCCTGTTTATTTTTAGGACAGCTCTTTCCCATCAAGGCTCAGATGAATATCATTATACAGAAAGGGGGGATGGTGGCAGGAGGAAAACACACGGATATTATTTTTATTTCTTTGCCTGGGATGTGGCTGCAAAACTTTCCTCACATACCCCCACCCACCCACAGTGTGACCCTTCATTTTATGAACAGGGATGATATCCCAGCCTAGGAAAGCAGGATAAGGAGAAGCACAGCAGTGAAGTCAGCTTATGAAATATTGAAGTAGTGAAACCCTCGCTGGAACACGTGAATGTCTAATGCCAGTTTCAATTAATTTTGAATTTTTCATTAAACCATTATTAAAAGCAAGAGGACAGCAGAAATAAGGGAAATTGACTTGGGCAGTATATTAAGTACCTTAGTTTTGCTGGAGGATGTTTTATTATCTGTTCAAAGCAATTATTTCACCAGCTCCTGACAGTTTGTGGGCTAAACAGAGGTACAGAATAAAGTTCTAGATGGTCTTTCCTCAAAATTATTTTAATTTCTGTCACCTATCCTGCACCTGGCAGCCTGTTTGGGTGGTGTCTCTGGCACATCATCTGTGGAGGAAAAGACATGGAGTCAGAGTTCTGGGGATCTGTGATAATGTGTCACTCTGGCATTATTTACAAATCAAATAAAAACTTGTTGACTTAAAGCTTTTCCCCATATTGAGGGCAAACAAAAGACATGGAAACATTGAGAGACATTCATTAGGAAAGCCTGAAAAGCAATTTAGAACCCAGGTGGGCTGCAATGTTTTCATGGGGGGAAGAAATAAAGCAACAGCATTTATCAAATGTCTCCTGTTCTCAAAGCTTCCTTACTCCACTAACTAGAGCAAAAGAGAAACACCTGCCTAAATTAGGTGCTTTATTAAGACATCTCAAGCTGGTTGAGATGATCCTGGGCCTTAATATTTTATAATGCCAGAATAGAGATCCTTCTTTCTTAGGAAGGTGGGTTTTTTAGGGGTTTGACAGGGGCTGCTTTGCTGTTTGTTGTGCTGCTCTCCTTGAAAAGGGTGACAGAGGAGAAATGGGATGTTGCTGAATAAGGAAATAAAGGTTTCCATAGGAAATAAAGGTTTCCATAAGGGTATGAAGGTTTCTCTGTCCTTTCAGAAGTCACAGGGAAACATCTGCAGGAAAATTGACCCTGATTTCCCCTGGCAGAGCCTGTAAGGCTTTGAGGAAACCCCCCTGCCAGTGCTGGTCTTTCTGGCAAGGCAGATCCTTTGCTGTTCCTTGGAGCTCCCTGATCCCAGGACTTGTGGTCAGTAGTGATGAACACTTAAGAATTTTCCTCTGATGTTTCTTTGGGGTGAGTTTGTGTTTGGGAGCAAGGGATGAAGTGTGAGGGAACCACCCTTGCCAGGCTGACCATACCTACACCTGCAGCTCTGCAACACTGGGTAACCAAAGAGAGGTAACACAAGGTTGTAAATCCCCAGTCCAGCAGCTGCCACCTAATTCCTCAGTGCCACAGATATCTCAGGTGATGGGGCAGCTTAAGGCACTGGTATTTATATTTCTGAAGTCCCAGAGGCCCCAACTAGAGCTGTACCACCACGTGCCAAGATGAGTAAGGCCCTTCCTATCATTCAGTGCTTTCCTCCTCCTGAGATGTGCTTGGTTATGAAATAACTGGGCTCACTTTATATGTCAAGTTACATCTACAGCAAAGGAACAAAAAGCTAATAAATGATTAATAAAAGCTTTGAGAAATGAGTAATTAAATGCAACAGCTTTTTAGAGTCCAACAGATAAGCACAAAATATGTAAGCCCAAGTGATAACACTTTCTCCTGATATAACTTATCTGCAGCACACTGCTCACTTCTCCAAGAGGGCTTAGGAACACTATTAAGTTCTTGTGCACCAGGAATAAAGAGAGCCTTTCTGTGATGGAGGAGCACTTCTCCTGGGATTAGGACCAAATCCTTATTGTTTAGATCATTTTAAATCCAGAAAAGCTGGAAGGTGCTTATGTTAATGTATATGGGAGGTGTGAGTGACAAGGGAAGCTCCAGTATCCCCTCCTTGCCTGGCATGGAGGCAAATCTCCCCACCACCCTGCCCTGTTCTAGACCACAGTCAGGAGCTCTCCATCTGCTCCACCAGTATAAAAGATTTTTAAAAAAGGGTGGGGTTTGATCGTAGTTTAATTCTTTCTGGTACAAACGAGGATTCCTGCCACTAATGCAGCTGAAGTCACCAAGTCAGACAGATCCTGCTGCAAGTATCCAAATCAGACTCCAAAAGGCCCTACAACTGTCCTGGCTGGCTGCCCAGCAACAATATTGCATGAGGGCTGGTGGACTGTGTTTGGCATGGGATTAAACTTCAAACAGGCTCCAGAAGAAAAAAATATGTATATTCAGTTCTGAAGGATCAAACCTGCCTGGTTTTGGAACACAAACGAACCTGGAAGTTTTCTGAGCAAAAGTTGGATGTGAGTTGGTGGCATTTTCTGGTGGAAAAGACAATGTGAAGGGGAAAAAAAAGGCAGTAACGCACATGTTAAATGAACCAGTCAAGTGCAGACAATGGAAAAGCTGAAAAATGAGTATTGAGGAAAGCATTTTGTGGTGGTAGCTATTTCTCACTGCAGTTCTTTATAACTTCCCAGATGAGAGATTCATGACCCTCGGAAGAAGTCTGTATCCTCCAGGGTTTGGCCTGAGGCAGCCCATGACTCACTCATTGCCAGGGCTGGCAATAAGCTGAGGAACAAGCAAGACAACAAAATGGTGGTGGAAACAGCAAAACAAGAGACAAATGAATTAATTTGTGGAAGAGTGAAAAAAACAAACCTCTGTGCACAAAGAAGGGCCCAAATGGAGTGAGAGTGAATGCCTGTGCACTGAGGACTCAGAGGAGCTGCCATCCCAGGCATTCAGCTCCATTCCTTCCAGGTGAAACACATTCAGGTGCCTCGCTCTTCAAAGGTGAGGTAGGAGGAAATAGAAGATTTGAGTTTCTACGAGCCATTCCAGCTGTGCACGATTCTTTTGCAGGAAGACAGAGGATCTGTGGATCTGCATTGCCATCTAATGGCAAGGGAGAGCTTAAAGCGCTCGCTGGGGCCAGCGATGGGCTGGAACAGCAAAAACCAAGGAGGGAACAGATGATCAGCACAGATTGTCCTTTGCTCTAAAGGCAAATCCTGCCTCTGTGACTGAAGGGTCTCACCGGAGAAGGGCAGCCCAGAGAAAGGAACGGCAGCCAAAATCTTGCAGCAGATGATGCTGGTTCCTCCTCTTCTGGCATCCTCTCCGTTCTGTATTATCCAGGAATGTTAACATGCATTCAGGGTGGGATTTGCTTTCTTCTGCTGCACCAGATGCTGGCAGCAAGACAGGCATATTTCAGGTGCTGAGTGAATTCTGCCATCCTGTTCAAAGCAGTGTCAAATTCAGCATCTCAGGTGTTCAAAGACACTGCTGGGAAATGCAGATAACCAGGATTATTTAAGAGAAGTGGTAAATTTCCCTTGGATATAGGTATGGGAAAAGCACAGCTACCATTTTGGTCACACCTAGCTCAGTACCTTGTGTTCATCCGTGGTGAGTAATGGATACTTAATGAGAGAGTATGAGAGAGGGGTATTACTGATTGGTACTGCCAGTCTGGGAGACAGCCCTGCAGGGAGAGCCCACAAGGCACAGAAATCCAGTGAGATGTCAGAGTTTACGGATTTTGTCATTTAAAAGGAAAAGCCAAGCTTGATGTTCAGTCTAGGCCACCTTTGCTAACGATACACTGTGTTATACAGTCTCTACAACAGAAACTTTACAAGAGAGTGGATTGTTAGGAGCTACTTACATTAATAAAATGAAGGAATTTGGTAAAGGATTGTCAACAGCTTCTTTATCCTGCTTTTAAATGTTTCTAGCCTTGACACATGCAGCTTTGCATATGAGGAGGAGCTGGAGCTGGATCAGTGTGAAAGAGAGGAAGGAGATCTTTAATGACCAAAGTTTAGAGCGGACCAGGAGCTGCAGGAGAAAATGGGGGATATAAAGTGTCTGGTTTTCCCAGATAATGAAATGGAACATGGTGTGGGTCCCAGCTAACTTCTGGGCCACAAAAAAGGAGTAGGGATTGAGAGCACAGAAAATGTTGAGACCTGCCAGACTTCAGGCCACGGGTCCGACCACCCCCGGTCTGTTCAGATGCCTGCTGTGACACGCTTCCCAGGCAGCCTGCTGCCAAAGGAATGAGCACACTCTCCAACAATCCAACTTCATTTCCTTCTGGTATCCTCTCATATTTACACACCAACCTTGCCAAGCCGTGCTCAGCCCAAACAGTCCCTCTGAAAGAAGACGAAAAACAAAAGAATTCTTACAGCCTGTATAGCACCTTCCTGCCTGCCTGAAACAAAAGAAAAATAAATTGTTCGGAGGGCTCTTCTTTCTCTTCTTTCTTGGTTGCTCACCGTTTCACAAGCTAATGAAAGCCAGAGGCTGTGGGAGTGATGGGATTATCATCACTGAGTGAATTTTTCATGTCTTTCTCTGCAGTTCGTGAAGCAGGGAAGAGAAGAAGGGAATGTACCTGGTTGAAGGGCTACAAAGGGTGACATGTTCCTTGATGTTCCTTTCTAAATGTGGCTCTGAGTCACGCTGAAGAGTTGATTAGAAAAATTACCTTCCTGCAGTAGAAAGGCAGAAGAGTCTCATTCAGTGTTCGCTTCCCCAGCCCTGACTCCGAGCTTGCCCGAGCCTGTGGCAGGAAGGGGGTTGGTGAGCTGGCTGGAAAGCCACTCGTGCTCCTCTCAATCATAGAAATTGTGAAGAGGCTGCAAGAGCAGCCATAGGAACAGCTCGAAATGCACACCCAAGGGTACAAGCAGCTGTAGTCCCACAGAGCAGCATGTATGGTCTTGCATCTGCCTCCATCACACGAGTTCCTACATGTGCCGGGTCAAACGGGGCCAACACAGTCCTTCCCCCTCGGTTTCCTCCCCTGCTTGATGCATCTCCAAAGCTGCACCCCAAAACCTGCTCCTCTGAAACAGAGCTACAAACGGAGCACATCCAGCCTTGCGGCGTGCGGGACCACGGGGTGGAACAGGCCTGGAGGCAGGATGGCAGCGATCATCGAGGGAGGGAAGCCCTGGAGGAGCCACAAAACACAGCGGGATGGTTTGAACTGACAGGAGCAGTGTGAGCTGGACCACCAAGAAAAGCTATTAAAGGTGTATGTTGTCCCGGAGAAAGCCGGTGGGGATCACCACAGCTGTGCCAAAGAGGCAGCTCAGCACAGTGGTGGCTGCCATGACCCCTCGTCTGCCCTCGGGCTGCGGTCACCAGCACTGACCCCAGCTCAGCTCCTGGGGTTTCACCCTCAGCCCAAAACCCCCCAAATCCCTACAACAACCTACTGCCCTCGGCGGAGAAATGCCAGCCATGATAGCGATTAACGTGGTTTATTGGGGGTTAATGACACTTCCGCAGGTTTGGGAACACTGTTAATGTAGTGCCTCATCCCTACACCTTAAACCTACACCTTAAACCCACACCTTAAACCCACTTCCATGCTGAGGGCCTGCGTGGTTTTATCTTCTACTGTTCAAATCACAGAATCATTTAAGCTTCTAAAATCATCAGGATTGGAGAAAAATAGGGAAAAAAAAGCCCATGGGGCCATGTCGTTTCAGCGGCACCTCCCGGCTGAAGGAGGGGAGAGAAATGTGGCGATTTCTGAGGGGAAAATGCAGATTTAATTACATCAGGTGTGCTGAGGGGCGGGAACACAGTAAGTGGCAAAAGCCAGCATCGGTTTCTCAGCAAACGCTCGACTTAGAACCGTTAAAAATTCCGATTGTTGCTTTATATATAGGAGGAGAAGGAAGAAAAAAAAAAAAAAACAAACAAACACAAACACCAAGCGGCTGCGCTCGGCGTTATTTAACATCTAACTGCCGCTCGTGAGGCGGTGCCCGGGGCCGGATGAGGGGCGGGCCGAGCGCCCTCAGCCCGCCAAGAGCTGCAATCCCGGCGCGCCGCCATCTTGGCGCCGCCTCAGCACAGCCCCTGGGGGCGCCCCCGGCCGCCATTTTGGGGCGGGGGGCGAGACCCTCATCGGACAGTGGGGGGGGGGAGGCTTGGTTTTGGTAAATTAATTAATTTTGAATTAAAACCCACTAAATCATTGCCGTAGTTTAACCCCAGCCACCAACCAACCACCACGCAAGCCGCTCGCTTACTCCCCCTACCAGGGGATCAGGGATAGAATAAGAAGAGTAAAAGCTGGAAAACTCGTGGGTTGGGATAAAGACGGTTTAATAGGGAAAGCAAAAATTAAAAGCAAAAGCCATGCATACAAGCAAAGCAAAACAAGGCTTTTAATTCACTCCTTCCCATGGGCAGGCAGGGGTTCAGCCATCTCCAGGAGAGCAGGGCCACATCACACATAATGGTTACTTGGGAGGACAAACATCATCACTCCCAACATCCCCCTGCTTCCTCTTCTTCCCCTCACTTTAGATACTGAGCATGGTGTCATATGGTCTGGAGTATCCCTTGGGCCAATTTGGGTCATCTGCTCTGGCTGTGTCCCCCTCCCACACACTCCCAGCCCCCTCTCCAGCGTGGCCATACGAAAGCAGAAAAGGCCTTGGCTCTGTGTAAGCCCTGCTCAGCAATAACAAAAACATCAGTATATTATCAACCCTGTGTTCAACACAAATCTAAAACACAGCCCCACACCAGCCACTCTACTCCAACCAAACCCAGCACAATTATTCACAAAGGGCAGCCCAGTGGGTGCTGTGAGGGCACTTTGTGGGGCTCGGGCCCTGCTCATGGGCATTGTGCTGGTGTTGGCTTTATGTCCACTCTAGTCGTGTTTAGCTAAATAAAGGGCAGATTTTCCCATAAAACTCTCTCCCGAAGGCCTTTTGGTGCCGTGCCAGCTCACCCCAGAGGATGGGGGAGTTCTGAGTGTTGTGCTGAGTCTCCTGGTGCCCTCATGGCTGGGGATGCTGTGAGCACTTCTGAGGGAAGGACTGAGGGGTTGTGAGGGTGTACAGGGGAATTCGGGCTGTGAGTGACTGGGTGGTCAACAGGACCTGGATTGGGCAAAGAACCGGGGGAATGTGAAGGCTGGATCTCAGGAAAAGGCTCTTCCCCCAGAGGGTGCTGGGGCACTGACCAGGCTCCCCAGGGCAGCGGGCACGGCCCCAAGGCTGCCAGAGCTCAAGGAGCATTTAAGGCAACGTTCTCAGGGACAGAGTGGGATTGTTGGGGTGTCCTGGGCAGGGCCAGGAATTGGACTCGATGATCCTTGTGGAACCCATCTCAGGATATTCCATGACTCCATGCAGGTCCCTGGATAGCAAAGTCAGCGAGTGTTGTTAGGCCGCCCTGGAAGGTGCAGTAATTCAGCCCTGCTACAGTCAGGACAAGGCAGGTGTTGGGCTGTGAGGCTCAGCGAGAGCATGTGAAGGGATGGAGAGGGCATGGGGTTTGGGGGATGTGTTTAATAGAGCTGCAAAAGGAAAACAGGGCTTGTCCTGGGGCTGTTGGATGCTCTGCTTGGTGTCCTCTGGCAATGGAACTACTCCTGATGTTCTTCCCAGAGCCTGCTCTTGCCTGACAGAGAGAAGGTGACTCCTTCAAACAGCAGAAGAAATAATTTACGGTGATCATCAGACTGCAACTTCAGGTATTATTCAGTTCCCCAAGTGTTTAGTGAGGGAAATTTCAAGGACAAGCACTCAAACTCAGAGAATGCCTTGAGCCTGAACTTGGTATCTAAATCTGAGCTCTGTTATGTGTTATACTATCACAGATTATAGCTAGTTCCTTAACACCAGGGCTTATTTTTACAGCAAAAAACCTGCTGTCTCTATCCTGCATCTTTTTATAACATAAATTTGGCTACCTCTTAAGCACATGATTGACTGATTGGTTGATTTATTTTATGCATGGCTTTATTTTGGAGTAATCTAAAAGGATCCTTCCCTTTCCTCCATTAGCCTCATGCCATTATTCCAAGGAGCCAGGCCATCCCCCCAGCTCTGCCGGGCTGGTTAATTGCTCTGCACACACCAACGGGTGCTAATCAGCTTTCTTTCAAGCATGTGTTCATATGTCAACACTTTTGCTTCTGTCAGAAGCTTAAAAATGGAAACAGTTTTCTCTTTAAGAAAACAGGACCCAAATAAGGAGATGGTGGAGTGGTGAAGATTCCTCTAGTGAGCCTGTTCCAGCTCATTCCTTAGAAAGGCTGTGGATGGAAGATCAGAAAAGGGGCCAGTAGATCTGGGATTTGTCCAGGGGTCTCTGGGTTTAAAGACCTGTGCAACCACTTGAGCTCATTTTCCCTGTAGCTTGCCGGGGTACAACTTCTTTCTCTGCCCAAGCTGTTAAAAATCTAAAATTTCACTCATCAGATTCTTTCAGTTGCGAGACAGCTCCAACCCAGCCTTGGGCAAAAATGGAAGCTATCAAGAAAAAGATGCAGATGCTGAAGTTGGACAAGGAGAATGCCATTGACAGAGCAGAGCAGGCTGAGACGGATAAAAAGGCAGCTGAGGACAAATGCAAGCAGGTAAGTGGAAATAAAATCACTGGCTGTGTGTGTGCTGTGAAAATAAGTGTCACAAAATACTGTGCTGCAATTTTCTGATTCAGAAAGCAAAATAATTTGAAGTCAGGTTTTCTGTTAATCTTCTTTTGAAGTTTTTTTGCCTTTTTGTTACGCTTATACAGCCAGGTCTAGGCAGTAACTTGTCAGCCATCTCAGTCTTTGCAAAATTAACATCATCCTCAGATTTATTAGCAGTACTTTGTCTAAGTTTTCTTAAATCTTAACATCATCCTCAGATTTATTAGCAGTACTTTGTCTAAGTTTTCTTAAATCTGCCTTAATTTTCTTGTGCTTTTGATTCCATGGAAAAGGCCTTTACTTACTCAAAATCAAAGCTACAAACCTTGACACCTGTAGGACTACTGCTAATAGAGTCAGCCGTGTCTAAACATTAATTAAGCCTCTCCTTGAAGCAAATTAATAAAGTTCACTTCAAGTCTTTGGTGCACAGAGTGCCCCTTAGAGGTGCCAACTAAGACTCAACAGTAGATATGTTCTATCATTTTTTGTCAAGAATAATCAAAAATATCTTAATTTGGATGCTCTGCTTTTAGCTGAATTTTAACGATAACATTTGCGGTTCTTTTGCTTTTCAATGTCTTTATTCTGGGTGTCTGCCTCCTATTTGAGCTTTGGTATTTTCAGAACAATCTTGAAATGTAAGTTGACTACACTCAAGTTTTTACAGCACTCCTTGTAAAATTACCACCTTTCCCTTTTACATTCTCCAAATGTGGCTGCTTCTACTACATCTTCCAGACTGCTCTAATAGGTTATTAGCATTCATTTGGCCTAATATTTCTTTTTCTTTAGAAAAAATAAATCTTTGATCTTACTCCTCTTTTCTGAATTGTCTCAAAATTTTCAGCTTTTTTTTTTTTAATGTGGGCACAGTACTCAAGTAGTGATTTTAATATTCATACACAAAGCCAGCATCACCTTCATCCTGCTGCTCACTGTCCCTCTGTTAGAGCACCCAAGCAAAGTTTCAGTTCTCTCACACTCTCTGGTTACTCTGAGTAAAACTATTGCAACGTAACAACGTTCCAGAATAGCACACTACCAAAAATGTCTTCATCACTGAAACTAAAATGAAGGAAGTGCACCAAAACACAAACTATTTTGATAGACTAAATTTGTGTGAAGGTGGAGCTAAACAGATAAATCAGCTTCTCAGCAGACTGAGCTGTTTTGAGTTGCAAATGAAAGGATGGAGCAGATGGGTTTGCAGGCCCACCCTTATCAGCAGCCAGCCTCTGATAACGTGAATTCTTCAGGGAGCATGAGGCAGTTTGTCATTAAACAGTCTCCCAGCAGGTTATAAATAGCACCATTCTAGTGAATAATATGGATTTATATGGTATGGAGGAGTCTGAGCCTCATGGTAGGATGGAGCATATCTTGCTGGGCCACAGTTAGGGAATAATCCAGGTTGGAAGGGACCTCCCGAGGTCGCCGGGTCCCTTCTACAGCAGGGCCAGCCCTGTTCCCTCCCACTTCCATTTGGGTTGAAGTGTCCTGAACCTCCCACAAAAGTGATTAGGGAACCACCACTCATTTTTTCCAGCTGTACAGGAATTGAACAGTTTCCTGATAAATCACCAAGTCTGGGAACAAACACAGAGGCATAATTTAAAAACATTTATAATAATGCTGTAAAACTGATTCTTGCAGAGTGTCCAAAATAAAAATGGGGTGAAAAGGGGCTTATACCAAGTTCTATATTAAACCAGATCCCATCTGTGCAGTGTCAGAGAATGTTCTTCAAGGGTGAGATGTTTTCAGTGATCTTTCCCCGGCAACTGCTACCAGTCACTCTCAGACTGTTGTCCCCAGCAGAACTTTGATCTGGTCTTTTGTGACTCTTTGTATGTTAAAATGAAGTTAAACTAATACTAAAGAGAGGTTTTATCATATTAAACTGTATCTGATACTACATCAGGATGCTTACTTTGGGGGTTTTCTCTCTTGAAAGGTAGAGGATGAGCTGGTTGCTTTGCAAAAGAAGTTGAAAGGAACTGAAGATGAGCTGGACAAGTACTCGGAGGCTCTCAAAGATGCCCAGGAGAAACTGGAGCAGGCTGAGAAGAAGGCCACTGATGTATGTACCCACTTCCCTGGAACTCTGCTCTGTGTATTTTGTAGGTACTGCACTGTTAGAGGAACGGCTGAGAATTTCTATACTGCAGCACTAGGCTGAGGATAGAAAGGCAGGGTTGTGGTGCAGGGATTTTCTCTCCTCTCCTCTCTGCCAGAGGGAGCCAGAGCTGTTCTGCACAGAGCCCACGGCACACGCAGCTGCCCCCGGGACACGGTGCCACTCGGGGCTCGATGGACACCCAGAGAACTGATGGCACTGAACCGGGGGGAAGGAGTGCTGTGGGTGGGAATTCTTTAGGAAAGCTGAAATCTCCTTTAATCAAGTAAACGAAATCGTGATCTTTGCGGGAAGCCGGGACAGCAGCAGGGCTCCAGCTGTGGCGTAAAGATGCCCTTTGCCTCCATCCCCGGGGTTAAAGAGCAGCCCCGGCTCCCCGCCACACCTCGGCCGCCTTTGGCAGCGACGAACGGCGGGCAGGGCCCGGCAGCGGCGTCACCAGCCCCGAACCCCCCCTTTTTGGGAGCGGGAGGTGGGGCCGGGGAGCGCGGCCGCCGGGGGCTGCATCCCCCCGGCACGGGGATGGCGATGGGAACAGGGACAGGGATAGGGACGGGGATAGGGACGGGGATAGGGATGGCGGGGGACGGGCGGGACCGTCCCGGCCCTGCCTGCGCCGACTCCCCGGTGCTACGTCACCAGCTCTACCTCCACCTCCAGCCGCGTGACGTCATCGGGCCATTGAAAGGCGCGGGGCCGCCACGTGCAGCACCTCCGCGCCCAGCCCGCCGTCTGCGCCGCGCCCATGGCCGCGCCGAGCTCCCTGGAAGCCGTCAAGAGGAAGATCCAGTGCCTGCAGCAACAGGCGGATGAGGCGGAGGATCGCGCCCAGGTCCTCCAGCGGGAGCTGGACCTGGAACGGGACCTGCGGGAGAAAGTGAGACCGCCCGGGGCTGCCTGCTCGCCTTCTCTCGGTCGCTCTCTTCCCGGGCTGCTCCTTCCTTCCTGTCTCTGGCTCTCTCTCGCTGGGGCGCGCCCGGCTCTTCCTCGCTGCGGGAGGACGGCTCGGCTGCCTCCATCCCCGGGCTGTTCCCGCTCCGCACGCTCGGCCCGCGGGAGCCGCCGGCGCTGCCGCAGCGCCGCGCCCGCCCCGTCCCGTCCGGTCCCGTCCCGGGGGGAACCGGGCGCGGCCCCGGCGCCCGCTGCTTCTCGCGCTTTGGGGCCGATCCCTGCGGAAAAGGGACACCCATCGGCCACGGGTTCGAGCTCCCGTGGGCACCGGGGAGCGCTTGCGAGTTTAGTAGGAAATGGCTGTTTAATTAGGGAAAAGCGCTGCATGACACGGAGCGGGGAGTTCCCGCCTCTCGGCGCCGCACCGCTGGCTCCGGCACAGCTGGGGAATGTCCGAACTGCTGCAAAATAACTTTCCCTCCCGGTTTTCTCACAGAGAAACGCGAACTCTCCGCTAGCGTGCGGCTCTCCCAGGGCTGGACAGCTGGTTTCACTTAGATTTGTGTGTAATCAGCCTTCCCGGCATCTTCCTGCTATTTTATCACATGTCAGCGAGTTAGTTTTACCGTATAAGGACTGCGGGCTGCTGCTGGGAGAGGTGGAGCCAGGCTCACCCCAGCTTCCCAGTGGCCCCGGCTCCAGAGCTTTGGAATCTTGCTGAATTAAAATATGACTTAAAAGTGCCCTGTCTAGAGGAAGGAGTTGCTGCCACAGAACAGATGCCAGTTTTGTACATGATCGATGCCTTGTGTGTAAATCGAGGAAGTTAAACACAGCACTGGGTAAAAAACAAATGAAATGTTGGATAATTTATGACTAGAGGAATCCTGGGTCAGCTTCCATTTGGATCAGCCACTGAACTCCTTTCCAAGATGGCTCAGCTGTGAATGGAAACCACTTCCTCCAGCTTAGGAGTGGTCAGTGACCAAATTTGCAAAGCTGCAGCAAAACACTTTTTTTTTTTTTTTAAAGTGTTTTACCATAAAGCATAAAACAATCACCCTTCCAGAGTCTGTAGCCCATAAAAGTCTTTTTTTTTTAAAAAAAGTTAATCTTAGAGATGGCAATCCTGCTCAGATTTGGGGACAATAAAGTGCACAAACCTGGCAGGTATGAAAGCAGGGCTTTATTTTTCTTCAAAAACAAGCAATTAATGGAACCATATCTTAATAAACACATATTTTGTGTTTATTAATAAACACCAGTTTGTCCATGTTGTCTGTATCAGGCCTTTCTCCTGGCAATCTCTCCATTTATAAGTTAGTCTGTTTTTTATACATTAATAGCACTCCAATTACTGAGCAGTTTATTCAATAATATACAAACCTTATCAAGAAATGCTTTCTGCCTAATTCCTTAAGTAGCACAGGAAGCAAAGTGAACTTATTTTAAGAACATATCTAATTTTGCCCCAAAAAAGCCTGACTCTGCCATGTTGAGGCCAACTGTCAGGCCCAGCTGACCATGAAGATTCTTCAGTGTTTGCAGGCTCAGGAGCCAGGATGGAAAAGGAACTGGCTCAGACCTCAGCAGTGGGTTGTGACTGTGGTCCAGGATGGAACCAAGGGCAGAGAAACCAACAGTGAAGGTTTTGGAACTAAGCCATTATGGGAACAGTTCATTTTTTAACTGTAGATAGATTCAGCCCGGTAAAGTGATCCAAAAATCCTTCGATGCTCTGGCAGTCCTGTCCTTTGCTGTGTGGCAGGAACGATAAGTACCACTGAAAAAAAAGAAAGGACAAGCACACACTCCATACCTTGACATTCCTGAGATGCCACAGTTTAAGCAAACAAAAAGCAGAGGCAGAAGGGCCCCTGGAGCTCCGGGGAGATGCCATTGCAGTTTTAGGGGAATTGCTTAGTTGGGAAGGTTTTCCAGCAGCCAGTGGCCTGTGTAACCCCGGCTCTGGGTGGTTGTTTCACAGGCCGAAGGGGAGGTGGCAGCTCTGAACAGACGCATCCAGCTCGTGGAAGAGGAGTTGGATCGTGCCCAGGAACGACTGGCCACAGCCCTGCAGAAACTGGAGGAGGCTGAGAAAGCAGCAGATGAGAGCGAGAGGTATGGCCCTTTGGGACTTTCTTTGGGTAAAAAATTTAATGTATATGAATAAAATATTCCTGTATAATTTAGTATCTGCAGATCAGAGACTCAGAACTTCTTTATAAGCTTGAGTGAGTAATTCCTTTAGCCTTGAAGAACATGGATGGTCGTAATGGGCCATTTCTGGGTTACAAATATCAAATTCCAGTTCAGGACCTTTGAGATAGAAGTGCTAAAACGCTTCTACATTAAACACGCTTTGACTTCTGCAGGGGAATGAAAGTGATTGAGAACAGAGCAATGAAAGATGAAGAGAAAATGGAGATTCAGGAAATGCAACTGAAGGAGGCCAAGCACATTGCCGAGGAAGCCGATCGCAAATACGAGGAGGTAAAAGGGAGAAGGAAATGGTGAAACGTTCAGGAGAGCTCTGAACAACAACTTCACTCCCCACTTTAGTTCCTCTTTGTGCACTCGTTGATGCTCCAACCTTGGAACGTTCCCAGCAAGGAGGAGTTTTAATAGTGACTTTGCAGCGTCCTGATGCTAAAAGCACTGCAAAATCTTAACTAATTGGGAAGTCTGTTATGTCTGGGGGGGTGTGATTGATTCCAATTTCCTCATTCCAAAGGAAGCAGGAGTGTAGTGCTTTGAGAGAAATGTGTAAGGAAGCTGTCCCTGCCCGTGGCAAGGGGGTAGAATGAGATGATCTTTAAAGTCCTTCCCAACCCAAACCATTTTGGGATTCTGTGAACTCCAGACTGGCCTGACAGAGCTGTTGTGTCTTTACAGGTTGCCCGTAAACTGGTTATTTTGGAGGGTGAACTGGAACGAGCTGAGGAGCGTGCAGAGGTGTCTGAAGTGTGAGTAACTGTTTAGAATACACTGAAGGTCAACACTATATTTCATTAGAAAAATCTACTCCTGGTAGGCAGCCATGTAATCAGTACCTGTAGAAAAGCTTGTTTGTACATGATATACCCACTTTTCTCCTTTCAGACTTAACTACCTCCTGCCTTGTATGTTTTAGATTCTTTGCAAATTAAATCACACTAGTAATTCATACTTTTATTATCCCCCCATAGTAAATGTAGTGACCTTGAAGAGGAGTTAAAGAACGTCACAAACAACCTGAAGTCTTTGGAAGCTCAATCTGAAAAGGTTGGTTCTTGGTGTAAACCAAGGGGTACAGACAAAGCCAAAACTTGTAAATAAAATTCATAGAAATAAACCAGAAATACAAAGCAAGCGAGAGGTTTTAGCTGCCTGGCTGTGGCTCCTGCTCCATCAGTTCTGCCCACACCAGCCTGAAAAGCCTGGGGAAGAGGAGAAAACCACGGAAATGGTGTTTGCAGCTGTTGTAAAAGGAAAAGTGGTTATAAATAGGTCACAGTTTCATAAACATTTATTATTGTTGCTACAACTTCCCTTAAAGAATGTTTATTGTTTTCACAGTACTCGGAAAAAGAAGATAAATACGAAGAAGAAATCAAGATTCTCTCTGACAAGCTGAAAGAAGTGAGTTTGGCCATCCCCAAAAACTGTATTTTGGCATCATTTCTTTTAAGAGCATCCAGTGACTCTATTTCAAATTTTTTTAGGCTGAAACTCGTGCTGAATTTGCAGAGAGAACCGTTGCCAAACTGGAAAAGTCTATTGATGACCTGGAAGGTATGGAATGGCTCAAATTTCTTTAAAAGTGGTTGGTTCCAAATCAGAAAACAAATTTTAGGAGTGAGTGGTGGGTTTTATTGGCAAAGGGCAGCAGCACTCATCAGGTGTACTGGTAGATGGGTGTGATGTGTCTACTGGCAAGTTCTGAAAGAGGTTTTCCTGCAAAAAAGTTGGTAACAACAACCTGCTTTTGGCCAACTCAGGGACTCCAGGGCTCGAGATCCCAACCCTACTTAATCTGCTTACTGAGAAAATAATTGTGGGATTGCAAAAAGGAAACGTAGGTGAAGCTCCTGACCGGGCAGCTGTGTGGGTGTTTTGCTTCCCTTCTGATACTCAACCACGCCTCTGTTTTCTTCTCTTGTTTTCCTCCCCAACTGCTTTGGCTGCTGTTGCCTTCTGCCTGTCTCCTCCTCCTGTGGCCTCCTCTCTTCCCTGCATTTTTTGCTGGCCCTGCTGACCGACAGACGAGCTCTACGCTCAGAAGCTGAAGTACAAAGCCATCAGTGAGGAGCTTGACCATGCCCTCAATGACATGACCTCTTTGTGACCTGCCCCTGTGTGGGGGCACAGGGGGGGCTCCCTCTCGCTGCGTTTCTCAAGCTTTTCTTGCCTGTCATCCCTGTCACTCCTGTGCCACTTCCACAAGTGACCCTTCCACCTCTGTGGGCACTGAGCTCAATAAAACACGATACCTCTACCTGTCAGCCTTTGGGGTTTCCTTCCTTGGGACTTACCTAAACTGTGCTGGTGACACCACCAAAAACATGTTCAGCTCCTCACACAGGGAAGGGCAGACACAGCCAGGGCAGGACCTGGCACTGGCAAACACCTCAGTTTTAGTGTTCCCAGGACACAGGTGGCAGCAAAAAGCTTTGGGTGCTTTTGGTGTGTCCTTGTGTTCCATCTGCCTGGTTAAAAACCTCTCGGTGCAAGGAAAACCCAGCAGGATGTGTCCTGTACATCACACATTAAGTCAGAACACAAGTCTGTCACTTCACAAGAGACATGGCCAAAACCCTCCCTAAATGAGAGCAATTGCCAAAAGATGCTCCAGCTGTAGAGGTCTGTTAAACACGAAGGTAAGTTACCACAGGTTTTATTAAAAGGAAAAAGCCGTAAAATAACGTGGCTTAAGTTGTGTTTTCCTTCTTTCCCACTAGAAAAACTTGCCCAAGCCAAAGAGGAGAACCTGGGCCTGCACCAGACACTGGACCAGACGCTAAACGAACTGAACTGTATATGAGAGGCAGGGACCTGCCAGTGGCCAAGGAACTGCCCCGTCCCTGCAGCGCTCCTCTCTCCTTCTTTCTCTCTGTATCCTGGGAAAGCCAATTAAGTTATGACCAGCACAGCCACGCCGGAGGCTCTGGGTGTCACTCGGGGACCTTTTTCCCCCAGACCTCCCCAGGGAGCCCCCGTGGAGCCCCTGCGTGCCCCGCCCGTGGCTGCCCCGCACGGTTCATGACTCCTTTTGTATAACCTGGTAGAAGCTGTACCCGGGCAGTGGCGGCACCGCCCGGCCCTGCCCTTCCATATTAAAAATTTCTCTCAGAACCGAGGTTTCCTTGTGGGTTTTTGTGGCGCTCCCCTCCGCATGACGTCACGCTGGGCAGTGGCAGCAGTGGCGTCACTGCCACCGCCCGCAGGAAGTGACTAGGCGCGCCCGCGGGGAGCCAATCGCAGCGCCGCTTACACCCGGGAGGAGGGCGCGCGCCAATGGCATCGCCGCTTACACCCGGTAGGGGGCCGTCCGCCAATGGCGAGCCGGCTCCGCGCGCTCCCCGCCTGGCTCGGCCAATGGGCGCCAGGGGGGCGGGGCGGGGGCGGGGCCCGAGCCCGCGAACATGGCGAAGACCTACGACTACCTGTTCAAGCTGCTGCTGATCGGGGACTCGGGCGTGGGCAAGACCTGCGCGCTCTTCCGCTTCTCCGAGGACGCCTTCAACGCCACCTTCATCTCCACCATCGGTGAGCCCGAGCACAGGCACTCACGGGCCCGCGGGCCGCCGGCGGCGGGGGTTGGCTGCGGCCGCCGCGGCTCCAAGCCCGGGAGGGGCGGGTTCGCTGAGCCCGGGGAGACTCCGGGAGGGGTCTGTGAGGGGCTGTGCCGCCTGGTCCTGGAACCTCCGCCCGGCCCTGCAACCTCCACCTGGTCCCGCAGCCCCGACCCCGCAGCCCCCCACTGTTCTCCTAGTCTCGCAGCCCCGGCCCGGTCCCGCAGCCCCTGACCCGGCCTCACAGCCCCGGCCCCGCAGTCCCCGGCCCGGCCCCGCCCGGCCCCGCAGCCCCCCGGGATCCAGCACGGGGAGAGCTCTGAGGACGTGAAACTAGAACAGCGAAATCGAAGGGCAGAGCGCTGGTTTGGTCTCCCGGCAGGAGCTGTGAGTGATTTCGTTGCTTCTCCTTTTCAGGTATTGACTTTAAAATTAGGACGATAGAGCTCGATGGCAAGAGAATCAAACTGCAGATCTGGTGAGGCTCCTGTGCCGCGGGGGGTGTCCGGTCACCGGGGCTGTGCGTGGGGACGGTAGTGTGGTGCTTTTATTCCAATTGTGCTGTTCAGTATTTATGGTATCTTAGAAGCTAAAACTCGGTCCTAGTGTGCCTAAAGACTGGTTCGAGTTAAGTTCTTTAACTCTTCGGTGGTGTTATCTCGGGTCGGTGCTGGGGGTGGTGTGTGAGCCCCGTGTCCTGTGTGTTCCAGGGACACGGCCGGGCAGGAGCGATTCCGGACCATCACCACCGCCTACTACAGGGGAGCCATGGTAGGAGCAATCCTGGGATCCGGGCTGGGATAAACCCACCTGGGAGGGTCAGGGCAGCTGGGGCTGAAGTGGGACAGGCACAACTGACCTTCTGTGCCAGGCTGGACCCTCAGCTGTGCTCCTGCTCCTGGCCGTGCTGGGCTGATATGGGGGGGACCTTTCCCCATGTTCCACTCTATAAATACACCTCCTGCACCCCTTATCTCGCTGCCATTAACTGTGAACCAGCTGTGTTAAAAATAGTCCTTGTTGAGTTGCTTGTCTCTGCTACAGATGAGCCTTTAACTCTTGCTGAAACAATCTTTCTCCTTCTGACCTTCAGGGCATCATGTTAGTGTACGACATCACCAATGAAAAGTCTTTTGAAAATATTCGGAACTGGGTCAGGAATATTGAAGAGGTAATTTCTCTACTTGCTGGCTGTTAAAGGTGCTGTTTCCTCCTCTAAAAGTGATTGAAGCTTAATTGCTTCAGAAGTGTTACCTTTCTTGTGCTGGAGGGTGCTCGGAAAATAAATAGGATGGAAATCAGTAACATTTGATGTTCCATCCGTGGGATGGAAGTCGGTAACACGCTGACTTGGCTGACAGTGATTTGTTGTGGGGGCCTGCTGTGTGATTTGTTGTGTTGCCACTGTACTCTTGAGGGCACCCAATGTGATGGTTTCCTGCCACAACAAGCGATCCAAGAGCTGCCGTGGTGCTGGGATGAGGGGTTGGGGGAGCCTGGAAATCTGTAGGAGGTGCTCAGCACCAGCATCTCCACGTTGGGTACTTGAGTGGTGCCTCCTGTGCCTGCCAGTGTTGATGTACAAAAGCCAAGCCCGGTGTCTGCTCTCTCTGTCCCAGCACGCGTCTCCAGACGTCGAAAAAATGATCCTGGGCAACAAATGTGACGCAAACGACAAAAGACAAGTTTCTAGAGAGCAAGGGGAGAAGGTGAGTGCTCTGTGGCTTTGATGGATCTCAGCTTAGGCTTTTCAAAGTCTAAAAACTGCTTTGATTATTGTCAGCGTGGCACCACCGGAGTGGAATGATTAAACGTTCTCCAAGCTGTCACGGCAATACATTTCCCCCCTGGGATGAAAAGCTGAGCCTGTGTTAAGGATTCTTGTTGATTATCTGTCAGGTGCAAGGCAACGAGCTGGATTTTTCTAAGAAAAAGGATGTTAGAGCTTGACATTGAGAAAATGTCTCTTTTTGGCTGGAAGCCACCGAGACCAGGTAGATGGGATGGTGTTTTCTGGTGTTAGTCGAGGCAGGGAAAGTGCATCTGCACTGCAGGTGTTACAAGGTGTCAATGCAAGAAGAAAAATAAAAGAGGAAGGAGCGGGTTAAAATGTGCAGGCTGTAAAAGAGCAGAGCAAAGCTGGTGAGAACAGGCCAGCAGCAGTGAGATTTAGTTCCTAATTGTTGCAAGTTGTTGTGTGTGAGTAAATCCCCAACTCCGGTGACTCGTGGCAGGAGGGGCAGAGCCTGTGCCCGGGGGTGTGTTTGGAGCTGCTCCTGCAATTGTTCAACTCATGTGAAATCTGCTTTTGTTCAGCTCGCTGCAAGCTTTGGGATTAAATTCATGGAGACCAGTGCAAAAGCAAATATAAACATAGAGAATGTAAGTACAGACCCCTTCCTCTGATATTTATTGTCTTATTTGTGCAGACAGACAGCGAGGACAGGCACCTGTCCATTGTTGGGTACAGGGGGTGGGTTGTTAAACACATTTCCCTGCCTTCCATTAAGGTGTTGTTTAACTAAAATTATGCTAATTTATGTAAATGGGACTTGGTGCTTAGGACACCACAGGGGTGTTACAGCAAAGGGCATCAGGGCAGCACAAGGGAAAACTCAGCTCATGTCTTTGTACTCAAGAACAGGATTGATAAAGGACATTTTCCCACTGCACAAACCCTGGGTGGGGCTTTTGGGCTCAAAAAGTGGGTTGTGGATATAGAGAAGTAGCATTAAAACCTGGAGCAGGGGGAGAAAACCTGAAAATTTGATGTTCTTGAGGAGTTTGGTGTATGTAGAAACTCAGCTTATTGCTAAGCAATAAAGTATATTAGAGTTGGAATATATTTGTTATTTAATTTATTTGTTAGGGTACATTTTATTTCCCCTGTAACACTGAACTGTTTGACTTGTCACAGGCGTTTTTCACTCTTGCAAGAGATATCAAAGCAAAAATGGACAAGAAGTTGGTGAGTAACTTATTTTGTCCATGCTGGATTTAAATAGGAAAAAAAAAAAACCAACAACCAACCAAAAGCCACATTGCAAGAACTTTTCACAGTGTATAAAAATTGTATCATGGTCTCTTTCATAAGGGCTCACTGAAATGTTCTAGGAATGTGGTTTTAGTTCTGTCAAGCTGTGCTCTGACCTTGGCTTGTAAACAACTGTCTCTGCATTTCAGGAATTAGCTGAGGTTTTCTAAATATAATTATTTATTTGTTTTATTAAAAGTCACGTGGGGGGTAGAGCAGTTTAATGATACTTCTCACTCTTGCAGTCTGAAAATCATATAAATCATAAAGATAGAGGAGGCAGGGTAGAAGATTTAAACTGTTTCAGAATAGGTGTAGAACTAATGTTTTTGGGTAATCTTTGCAAAAGCATCCTGAGCAATGACTGGGTTATCTTTTTGCAACAAATAAATACATGTTGGTTTGTTCTTTATGAAATATGAAATGAAGCTGATGGGGGTTCCTTCTGCTCTTACTGAGCTTTCCACCCTCATGTGTTCAGACATGAATTGATTGACCTGGGATATTTTGGGTCTTGCTGACCATTCATAAGTTTTTCAGCAAGAGCCAGACGTGCCCTTTAATTTATTATCTTTTAATCTCAACTGTCTTTGTGTTAATATAAAGAAGAAACATAGATGCAGTGTGAGCTATTAAAACCAAAAGCTGCAGATGCAGCTCTAGAAATTTTTGTCGTGCCTGGTTTAAGAGTGAGAAATGAGTGAAGCCTCCTGTTGGTTTTAGGGAAGGTTTTTGGGTACGTCAGGCTTGGCTCAAGAGAACGACCAGATGAAATACGGATGGGAGAAGCTGTGAAGTGTAAATGAGTAACTGAATATTCTTTGCCTCTTCAGGAAGGCAATAGCCCACAAGGCAGCAACCAGGGAGTCAAAATCACACCAGACCAGCAAAAGAAAAGCAGCTTTTTCCGATGTGTTCTTCTGTGAGGGACACGGCCTTAACCTGAGCTGGACTGTGCCTGTGCTGAGTGAGGTTTCCTCTGTCTGTGGACTTAGTGCTCCCAACAAACCTTGTCTGGTCACAACAAACCCTGTGACCATCTGAATAAGAAATGCTTTATTTTGGTAATTGTTTGACTCTTCAATTTTGGAGACGAAACAAGTTTATTTTTGCCAGGTCGCCGCCGGGCGCGTGTGCTGTGTGGCAGAGGGGGAACAGATCCCACGTGGCCCGGGGATGCAGCACCTTTGCTGCCAGACTTCAACCTTTGTGTCCGTAACTCTCGTGTATCCAGTGGAGAAGGATGAAGTTATGATCAAAACAAGACCCAGAAATGCCCATGTGAATAAAGTCCAGGTGTGTGTACATGGTACATGTGCATATCCAGTCTGGAGCTGCACAAGGAACAGTGGCATCAGACCATCCCAGAAATGCCCCCAGGGGAGCAGTGCAGGCTGGGGCTTTCTGAGGAGGTAGGAGGGAGCTTTCTGCAGCTCCACCTCTTTGCTACTGCAGAGAAGCTCCTTTGCCTGTCACTTACTCAGTTGTGTTACTCTTGACAATCCACAAGTACAATTGACGTTTAAAAAAAATCCTCCTCAAAGGAATCTCTATTTTTTTAAAAAGCCAAAGTGCTGTAAATATAATGGATCCTTACCATCAGGAATTTATCCACATTAGACTTGATTGATTAATTAAGTACTCCAGATGTTTAGATGTGTTTGACAGGAGCTGATGGCTGCAGCGAGTCCTGGGCAGGTGATCTGTCATCTGTTCTTGGAGAACCAGGTCAGGGTCAGGCAGGGACACTTACACCAAATTTGTCACCTTACAATGGGCAACTTTTCCACTCTCCAGCTGGGAATGACCCCAGATCTGTCATGAAGTAGTAACTAGTTTGAAGTAGTGACCAGGAACTGCCACACTGCTCCCCGTGGTGTGTTCCCATGCCCACTTGCTCACATATGCAAATAAATGCTGCACATCCCCTTTCCAAACACAGACTTTCCACCTGACCTTGCCTTGCTGGGTGTCCCAGTGCAGATGTCAGGTAGCAACAACCTGTGGCACTGCAAACGACACCAGTCCTCCCAGGAACAGGCTGGGAACTCATTCCCACCAACCCAGCCGTGCCGTGGCCGTGTGTGAAATGCAGGAGCCACGTTCAGCCCCTGCCAGGCCGGGGGCTGCAGCTCTCAGCTCAATTCTCCTGCCTAAAGGAGCCAGGGAGAGCATCTGCTGCTGAGTCTGCTGGGCAGTGATGGTGTGTTTGATCCCAGCAAACTCCCAGCTGTGTCCTGCAGCTCACTGGCACTGTAACGTGCTTCGTTTACATTGACAACTGCACTTAAGGGTAGAACTGAAGTTGATTTTAAAGTTGTTGAATTTACTCACCGGTTTTGTTTTCTTCCAAGTTTGTGGTGGTAATCTCTGGCCTCAGAGTAGCACTGGTAAGTGTTACTGTAGTTAAAGATCTATCATAATTACAGATCTGTTCATAATTAACATTATAAATCTGCAGCCTGCTACTGGGTTCAGCAGGAATGCTGCCTGTTCCTCTGAAATGGAAAAAGGATATTTCACTGTGTACGTTACTGGTTTATAAAAATGCATTTTAGATTCTACCAACCTTTTTTTAATAGCAGATTACAACAAGCTCTGTCATGATTAAAGCTTTCCTCTAACCAGAACCTTATGAGGGTTTGGTTTTTTTGTTTACTTGTGGCTTTTTAGCAGCAGGACTTGGTGATTGTGCACCGTAGTGGATTTACACCCAGATGTATTTGTAGGATAAAATCACTGAAGCCTCACTGAAGAGGCTTCCACTGTGGTTCAGAGTGTAGTTAACCCAGAGCTGTAGCTTGGACGAGCAGCATCTCTGTCTTGAGATAAGGATGGTTTTAAAGAGAGAGTTTGTGCTTCAAGAAATGATTGAGGCAGAAGTGGGGAGGTGATAAGGCATGGTCTGAGTGCTGTTTTCCTCCACAAAACTGATCAGTGTCATGATTTGCTTCTGGCTCAGCAGTAACTGTGGATTGTCTCACATCCATATTCTGCTTTATACAGCCAGATGTTGAGCCAGACTTATTTTTCAAGGTGACTGGAAAAATAAGTGGTTTATCTAACTTGACACCACAGGTCTGCCTGTGGACAGTATCAATAACTCATCTCGAGCTGGGGAAAGCAAACCATGTTCATTTACAAGTGGGTAAAACTTGAAGGATGGAATTGTGATTTTTTTCCCTCATTTTCTAAATCTCAAGTTACTCTTTTGCATTCAGAACTCTTTGTGAATACCTTCTGTTTGAACTTACGCTGGTTGTTGCACATGTTTATGTACCTGATTAGAGTGTGATTTCCTTTGAAATGGTTGGTTTTACTCAATGAACAAGTACATTTTTGCCTGATCTCAGGAAGTTTCATGCAGTTACTGTGACTACAGCCATCACTATCCTTCTGGGTATGCAGGCTCTACCCAGGCATTAAGTCTGTGTAAGCAATATGAAACCTAAAATGCAAATGTAAGAGAGGAAAAGGTTAAAGACACTGCACTGCACCTGTGCTTGGCTCTGTGTCACTAAATACAGGCATCAAATCTTGGAGAAGTACGATATCTAGTTGATGTTTCCATCACATCATTCAGTTACTGTGTTTATTAAGTATGAGTGTTATGGAAAACACAAGTATCAGAGAGGTACTGGGGAAATACATTCAGTAATGTATCTAAGCTTTCTTTAACTAAGGAGGAAAAAATATCTGAAATTGGGTACAAAATCTGTAAAACTGAGGAATTTAGGTAGATCTGCAAAACCAACTGTGCACACTACACGTTCTCAGTGTCTGAATACCATTAAAATGTCAGGTAATGGATTAACAATTGGTTTGTAGAGAAACAAGCCCATTTTTGAGCACGTTCTCAAATTCCCTTACTTTAATGAGTATCATGGAATTCTGTGGTTGCCCTTATTTTCCAGGCTGGTTGCAATATTTGGGATGGTCCTCACCCTTTTGGGTGCAGAGCTGTCAGTGGGTCAGTAACTGGTGGAACTGCTGTCCTAACACTGATTTAACACCCATGTTGTGTGTGTCCTGTGCTGATGGGCACAGCTCATGTTCCCTGACATCAGAGCCTTATGCCAGCGTCAGAATTCCAGCCTCAGATTTATAAATCCTATGGATTATTGTAAGTCTCTTTACTGCTGCTGAAAATTCTTTGGTCTCTCCTTTCATGTGAGATGCTGATCGTCCCCCTGACGATTGCTGAGGGGTTGTTGTGGGGGTGTCTCTGGCTCAAAGCTGCCCTGATTTTGTGTTTTCTTGGACTTGTTTGTGCCAGGGGAGGAAGGAACAAACTGTGTGAGGATGGGCTCCTTTGTTCTAGAAGTTATAGGGCTGAGGGAAGAATGATGACTTGTGTCTTCAGTTCTAGTTGAAACTAAAGATCTGCTCGGTGGAATGTGGATGGGAGCTGCAGTCTGAGTGTTCCAGGCTGCCTCGTTCCCTGGCCCATCTCTCACTGAGCCCTGGAGTTTCTGTGGTTGATAAAGTTTAGCAGCTGGAAAGAGCAGCTTTCCAGCCTTTCTGCAGGAACCGTGTGCTCTGCCTGGAGCGTGAGCTGGGACTTACGACTTCCTTTTGAAGGGAACTTAATGCATCCCAAAAATCTGTAAAAAGAACTGTAAATTGTGTTTTTAGAATGACCACTTTTGGCTGCCACCCTTCCCACGTTACAACTGCTTTCTTAAACACTTCCCGTTGATTTTCATGTTTGTATTAAAACTGTTGTTTATTACAGGATGTCTGTTTTTACTCTGTTGTACAGGACCCTGAGCACTGCATAAATAAACTTCTTATGAAAAGAGAATTTTACAAACTTAGTTTGTCAGTTCTGTTTGTCATTTGTGCATATGGAGTCTGGTGTGGAGAACAGGGGATTTCTGAAATTAGAGAAGAGGGACAGAATTTGGGGAAGGGTTTCTTGTCCTCAAAGTATGCTGACTTTCTCATTATAAATCCTGCACTCTGGAGAAAACTTCTGCAAATTGATTAATTGGAGCATTTATTAAGACTCTAAATGATCAGAGGAGTTGCTTACACAGTTTTGATTAATCACAGTGTTTTGGAAACTATTCTCAGGTGGTTTTTTTCCTGGTTAAGGCATTTTCTTGGGAATTTTTCGAAGCTATACAAGCTCCTTTACTACCTGGTGGTATCTGAACTTTAAAAGAATACTTCCCATCTCACTGTCCAGGCCAGGTTTGCTCCAGCTGAAGGGGGAATAGACATTTTGTTAAATTCCAGGGAAATCTTGATGCAGAACTTAATTAATTGATCCTTTAAGAGAGGTAAACAAGAACAGTTTTCTGACTGGTTCAGTTACCACAAGTTGTCCTCTTTGCCCCTCTCGTTCTGTGCTCTTATGGTTGGTAATCTTGGGTGAAGTGATAGTTTTTTAAGGTTCCAGAAGTGCTTCCATCCATGTTTCACTGGATTCAGATCCTGATGTGAAATGTGCTGTTAACAAGAGGAAGCCACGATCACTTATGTGTCACTCTGCAAAGGATTAACTCAATTAATTCTAGGGCTGTACTATAATTGGAAACTTTATTTCATGAAGCACTTGCAAGGACTGGGTACATTAAATAAATGCAAGATTTGAGTGCTGCTTTGTGTAAGATGTGCATCAGAACCACATTAACACCCTGTCAGGCACCGAGTGAGCAAATCTCATGGACCTACCAGTGCAGCCTGAGTGCTAATATTAACTTTTTAAGTTACAAGGACTTTTTGTTGTGTAAAAAGTACATCTGGAGGTTCAAAAGTAAGTCAAGGAGCCTCCAGGCTTTTTTTCAAGCATCTCTTTTCCCAGTCTTTGCAGCTCTACTAGAACCTGCCAGGGAAGAGTGGTTATCTATGAAGGCTGAGGAAACATAAAATACACACTTCAGAGGCTTTTGACAGAGAAACTGAGAGCGATTTTGTGTCAGAAATGAAAAGCAAATGTTACCTGAGGAAATCTGGGGCTCGTATGATCATGTGCTGAAAGTCTTCCAAGGACAGTTTGCCATCATTGTCCACATCAGCCTCGTAAATCACCTTCTCACAAACAAGGCTGACTTCTTCTGGGGTCAGCTCATTTCGGGTTAATTTGTTAACAGTTTTCTCTAGGTCTGATTTGCATATGTAATCATCGTTGTTAAAATCTGACAAAGGAGACAAAAATTAATTTGAAGTGACAGAATTTCAGCATTTTTACGTGGTTGGCTGCCAAGACCCAACAGGAGGGTTTTGTTCCCAGGATGTGATGGATTTATATCAGCAGAACTCAGATCAGAAAGGAAGTTACCTCCGTGTGCTTGTAAAAAAATCAGTTACAAAATAAAAGCCTAATCATTTCTCCTTATCATATATAAGAGTAACAACTGTAAATAGTTTAGTGGCTAAACATAGTGTAGCCATAATTAAATCAGTCCAGCAAGATTTTGTTTCTTTGATATATGGTTTGTCTTTAGCTGGTCATAAAGAAAATAACTGCAAATAGTCCCTTAAAAGAATTAAATCTTTAAATTTGTCCTTGGAGAAAAAAGCCTGCACTGTTATTCCCCGTCTCTCCCTCCCAAATCCACCCTACAGATTTATGGGCAGCCAAATCCCTTGTGCTGCACTTTTCCAAGCAGCTCTTCAGACAGAAATATTTCTTAAATGTTTATCAGCTCTTGAAAACCGCAGATAATTTCAGGCTGTAAATTTTGTAGTAAATCCTGATCCCAAGTAAATAAGAGACAAAAGGATAAAGAAAACCAAAAGTTTTTAGTAGAGAGAGAACAAACACTGAGATGGAATTAAAAGAAATGCTAACTAGAAATCATTATAATGAAGATTTTGCATCCCTGCATGAAGCTGCAGGATTTCCCCAATGTTTACTTTTTATGCACGTCTCACTCACCATAAATTTTAAAAGCATAATAAGCTTTCAAGTCTCTGGGAGCCATTTCACTTAGCACTGAAAACATGTCCAGAAAATTATCCAAAGTCATGTTGCCGTCCCCGTGCTCCGAGAACACCTCTGCAATCCGCTGCCGGAACGGGTTGTCCTGGGAAACAGAGGAGCAAGGGAAGGTCATCCTTACCAGCATTGATTTCAGTGCAGATGAGGCAGCTGGAGCGAGATTGTTTTTGTTGAAACCTCTTTTTGGCAAATTCTCCCCTTTCTGCCATTCTGTTCGTGTCAGAGGCAGCCGCAGCTGCGGCCGCTTTAAACTTTGTGCGGTTTCAGGGTGTTTTCTGGGAATCACTGGAAGCTTCCAGAAAGACTTCTGCCGTCAGTAACCCAAATTTATTTGTATGTCAGGCTCCCAGCAATTAGTCCTGGATGAATTATTAAAATAGGGCAGATTAAACTGCAGTGTGTCACTCGAGTCGTGTGCCTGGCTCGTACCTTGAGCTCTGGCATGCTGGCAATGAGCTCGTAGGGCAGTGTCACAGCTGGTTTGTCTGTGTAGTCGAGGGGAACGAGCTGAGGGGCCAGATCTCGGTACCTGTAAAACAGCCTGAGGCAGAAAGAAAGGCTTGTTTGGTGAATGAGTCCTTTAGACCTCTGAGAACAAGGTGTTTGCCTCTTCCACCTCACTTTTCACTCTTTTCCTCCATTACCAGATGGAGATCGGTCACTAAGTAACATATATGTTATATATATATCACAGAATATTCTGAGCTGGAAGGGACCCACAGGGATCATGGAGTCCATCTCTTTATATATAACAAGTATATCTATAATATATCACAGAATCATTATGTTGGTGGTGGAAGAACCAGTATTGAGAGCAACATGGTGTAACTGGTGAAAAATACAAAGCTTCATTATGGAACAATGAGGTGAAAATGCTTACACAGCTCATGCAGCCAAACCCCTTCACACCTGTATCCAAACCCACATTTAACAGTGTCAGGTTTATTCTACAGAGGTGTTCAGGCACGTGGAGTCACTGGGATGTGTGTTCATGATAACAAGGCACCAGACCTTCAGCCTGAAGGTCCACCTGATTTGTTTCCAAACACACAAATGCTGGTGGCAAGGCAGAAGGGATCTGTTTGCACGGTGTGGCCAAAAAACAACGGGCTGAAACCGGAGCGTGAAAAATTCGGTTTAAACGTCAGAATAAAACCTAAAGTCGTGGGCAGGGAGAGAGATCTGGGATCCCCCCTAACAGGATTTTACCCATCCAAAGTATCTTCCTGTTCTTCCACGGAACTCAGGTTCAAGAGACAGAAAATGTGCGTCAGGATTGGAATGTATTGACCACTTTTTCAGCGTGTCTTTGCTTTCTTCTTGCGCTAGAGAAAGGATCCCATTCCCAGCTGTTACCAACAAAACAATGGGAGAGAATTTTAAAAGGGATCCTTATCAATAATAAATGTCTTAATTCATGACATAGTTATGGTTCTGGCCTCTGTTTCCTATGGGGAAAGGGGACAGATACAGATTCCAGTTTTTACAGAACCATTCCTGTTTTATATCCTGTCTAAAATCCATACGCAGATGTCAGGGTTCTGAAGTTCTGCACAAAACTGTCCCCTGTGCTCTGCCCTTCAGAGAAACTGCCAAAAAACACGTGTGGTGGCATCTTGAGAGCAGAGAAATGGAACAATTCCCTTTCTGTTCACACACCCAAGGGTCAGGGAGGGCAAACAGAGCTTCAGTATTGTGTATGTTACTGCCTGGGTGAGTATTTCTTACAAGAGGAGAAGTTCAGGTTTTCAGTGAAGCCTCTCAGTCCCACTCCTCATCTTGTCTTTATCAGAACCTCTGGCCAGAGATTAAATGGAGAGTTCAATGAGGCACATGAAGGGGGGAAATGCACTTTGAAGCAGCAGTGTAATTATTTATAAGCAGACATGAAGAAAACTTGACACAATCATTAAGGATTTATGAAAATCAGGCCAAGTATTCCAAAGGATAACAGTATATTTTGAAGCATCTGTCATAAAACAATGTGAAACATGGATGTTGCTGGCAAAGTATCCACTAAATATAAGTTGTTACATTTATTTCTGATAAAGAGGGACTGGTGCATAAATACAAAATTCAGAATTCTGTCTCAGTTTAGGATAGATAACACAGAGTTTGTACATTAAAAAAAAATGAAAATACTAAGATTGCCCAAAGGTATCACTTTAAAAACAATTTTAAAATAGATTTATGCAAATTTAAAATATCTCACCCTATATGTAGCCTGCCTTTATAGCAATCTATGTCCTTTACCCACAAAATGCACACAGAATACTCACCTCAGGATTTCTTTCCTTGTGAAAAATGTGCAGTCCTGTGAAACAAGAAAAGATAAAACATGTAATGAGTTTTTAGCATGCATTGGCCCAAACTTTTCCTGTGCAGTGACTTAGATGAAGTTATATTGTAAAATACGTAACTAAGCATTAAAGCTCTCTTTTTGGCATATAATGAGAAGTATTTCATAACTGTTCTTCTTGAGATAAAGATCAAACTATATCACTAAAATCTGTGGTGTAATTCAGTACTTCTACTTATTAATTTTTAAAAGAGATTGTTAAAAAAAAACCACCTTTACCATTATTCAGCGTTGTGTTCAAACAGCCATTTAGTTTGGTTTATACCTGATATGCATCCAGTTGCTCTTGAGTGAAAATGGTTTGCTTATTGCCCATTTCGAGCTCGGAATGGCGACTTTTTTCCCATCCTTCTTTCCTCAAAGGCACCTTTATAGGTCGTCTGGATATTCGGTTATTAAAAGCTGCAACAATGAGGTTCAGGTACAGCAGAGGATCAGGTAACCAACTTCCACAGGCTGCAAAGTATCATAACAGGAGCATTTCATCAAATCTTTAGTCTGGCTGCTTGAGGCTCTCATCCAGCAGCACTCACCTGTCTCCTGTGAGCACCACAAAGACTCGGGTTACAGCATTTAGCAAAACAACTAATAGCTGCTCATTAGTGCCTTTGAGCAGCAGGTATTCTTGTATCCTGCTTTTTCATGCCTTCAGATACGGCAAATTAACTGAAAAGCGTTAGTAGTATTTTCCTTCTTTGAGAATTAACACCGAATGCTGGAGATTTGGTAACCACTCCTTCTTTTCCTTCCCATTCTTCGCAGAATAATTAAGGTTGGAAAAGCCCTCTAAGATCAGAGTCCAACCACTAACCCAGCACTGCCAAGGTTACCACTAACCCATGTCCCCAAGTGCCACAGCCAAGTTTTATGGACACTTCCAGGGATGGTGACTCCACCAGTGCCCCGGGCAGCCTGTGCCGGTGTTTTCCCTTCGTGCACATTGTGTGCTAATGCTAGTTTGTACTGCAGGTAGTATCCATAAATTATTTACACACGGAAGTTCAGAGTTAGTCCCTTTCCAAGTACAGCCCCTCTATTATTAGGATTATTTAGTAATTTCCGTACAAATTACGTAACCCCAGTGAACTTCTCCACATTCTCAAAGGATGGGTCTGCACCTGGGCAGGGTCTTTTTGACCTATAAGTGTGATTTTAATATTATAACGAAGATAGTTCAGCTCTAGGATACACAGACCTTAAGTCTTTTGCCAAGTTAGCCATGTATTCATAGACATCCATCACCATCTTGATTTACTACATCCTTAAATCTTGTTAGTTCCCAGATGTCCTTGACTAAGGGATGCTCCTGCTGCCCGTTGCACTCATTAGGTCTCCTCCCTTGCTGATCAGGCTTAAAAGTACATAAAGAGCGTACACCAAAAAACATCCTGACTTTAAGAGAATCTTGACATATTCCACATATTGCGACAGTCCCGCCCCGGTTCCCCTCACGGAGGGTCGGACGAGGCTCATTCTATCCCGGTTTCCCTCACTGAGAGGGCGGACAGGGCTCGTTCCCGGTTCCCCTCACGGAGGGAGCGCACGGGGCTCGTTCCCCGTTCCCCTCACGGAGGGGCAGAAGGGGCTTATTCCCGGTTCCCCTCACGGAGGGGCAGAAGGGGCTTATTCCCGGTTCCTCTCACGGAGGGAGCTCACGGGGCTCGTTCCCCGTTCCCCTCACGGAGGGAGCGTACGGGGCTCGCTGCCAGTTCCCCTCACGGAGGGAGCTCACAGGGCTCGTTGCCCGTTCCCGGTTCCACTCACGGAGGGAGCGCACGGGGCTCATTGCCCGTTGTCGGTTCCCCTCACGGAGGGAGCGCACGGGGCTCGCTGCCGGTTCCCCTCTCCCCGGCCGCGCCGTTGCGGCGGTGCCGGCAGAGGGCGCGGGCGCGGCCGTTCCGCCATGGCGGATTACGAGGCGGTGCAGCGCGGGCCGCTGCGGCTGAAGGGCAGCGGGGGGGCCCTGGGGGCCGGCAAACGGTGAGGGGGGACCGGGGGAGACCCGGGGGGACAGGGGGGAACCGGGGGCGGTGAGGGGGGACCGGAGGGACAGGCGGACACCCACCCCCGGGGCCGGGCGCTGACCGGACTGTGCCCGCAGGAAGAAGAAGAAGGCGAAGGAAAAGGCCCAGATCCTGGAGCACATCGTGAGCAGCAAGAAGCAGGAGGAGGAGAAGAAGCGCGGGCTGGACAAGCGGACCCCGGCGCAGGTGGCCTACGAGAAGATGCAGGAGAAGCGGGTAAGGCTTTAAAAACCACCCCCGTCACCCCTCGGGTGCGGCCGCTGAGGGGCCCCGAGTGCTCGGAGTAACCGGCCCCTGTGTGTCTCCCGCAGCAAATGGAGCGGATCCTGAAAAAAGCCTCGAAAACCCACAAGCAGAGAGTGGAGGTGAGCGAAATCACCCCGAGTCCCTCGGAGCGTGCTTATTATTGTTGGGCTGGAGGAACTGTTTCACCTTGTGAAGCACAGGCAGGGGGTCTTGTGGTTCGACTTGGTGATGTCAGCACCAAATGTTAAAACGTTTTCTTTCTCTTTTCCTCCCCCAGGACTTCAATAGGCACTTGGATACTCTGACTGAGCATTACGACATTCCCAAAGTCAGCTGGACTAAGTGACTGGGCTGCTTGTCACGGGCTCTGGAGCAGGAGTTGTGTTTTGTTTGTATCAAGCAAGGGTTGCCATGTAAATGTGTGTGTTCTCCATATTGTCTAATATATCTTCTGAGCGTTTTATGACTTTGTCCTGTCTTATTTTATAGCTTTGCTTGTTAAAGCCAAATGTCCAGCAAAGGCTCCTCTTGGCTGAGGAGCCAAGTTTATGTGGGTGCAGAGGGCTGGTTTTTTAGTGTTTAAAATGAGATTAAGGCCAAAATAATTGCTGCAAACCAGCTGGAAAATGTTCCTTTATTTGTTCTCCTTTTTGGAAGCGAAGAGTCTGACAGTCTCATGTTTAAGTTTCTTTTGTAAGTTATGGGAATTGTAAAATTCCTTTCTATTAAGTTCTTTCAGAGGTGATGTTGCAATTTTCTTAAGGAAGGATGTTCTTTCATGTTTGATCTTTGTATACTTTTAAACCTAATCAACAAGAGGGGAGATTTAATCCAGGGAAGAGAGGGCAGCCAACAAGTTCTCAGTGATGTCCAAGTTTTGATAGTTGGGGTGCTGGATTTGTGGAACACACCGAGCACCCAAGCTTGGCAACTTTGGAATATATAATCAGTGTCTCTCTTGAGTGTTGCACACGAGGTAACAAATATGATTTTGTGGACAACAGTATTTCTATTCAGACTTCTTTCAGAGATGAGGGGTCTGCTGCAACTTGTAACTTTGATATAACTTATTAAAGCACTGGTTTCATCCTTTTTTTTTTTTTTTGGTGCTGATTTACATATAAAATCGGGGCGAATTTTGTGTGAAGTTCTGGAAGGGCCATGCCTGCCTTTACAATTCTCACCTCCTGTGAGGGACGACACATACCTCGACATTCAAAATCCTGTCGCTCCTCTTCAATTGGAATATTGGAATAATCAGAATATTGGGATAATCGGAATATTGTTTTTAACCCGAATTTGGTCCCTCTTGTTGAGCCAGGGGAGCTCAGTGTGGTTCCCACCTCAGCCTGGACAGACCCTCGTTCCTTTCCGGGGTCTGTGCCAGCACTATGGGGGAAAACACCTCACCCCGCTGTGCCAGCGCTACCGGACCATTCATTCCCAGCGGGAAAAAAAATGGGGAAAACATTCTGGGACTATTTAACAGGCCTGCTGTGATTACGATGTCCTTCCGCGGCCGCGGTGCTCCGCGTGTATCTCTGCGCGGAGGCGCGGCCTGTCCCGGGCGGTGACGTCACTTCCGTCGTAACTTCCGGGGGAAGCGGAAGCGGAAGGGAAGGGGAGCGGGCGGGACGCGGCCCGGGCGGGCTCGGGGCGATGTCGGCCAGCGCCGTGTATGTGCTGGACCTCAAGGGGAAGGTGAGGCCGGGCCGCGGGGGCTCTGCGGGGCCGGGGGGGAGCGGTGCCCCCGGGACCCTCCGCTCTGAGGGCGCCGCGCGGTGCCCGAAGGGCTGCGGGGGCCGCTCTCCCCTCCCCGGCACCGCCGCGCTGCCACCCCCGGGTGTCCCGAGGTGCCACCACCGCGGGACAGGGCACTCGTGGCCTGTGTCCCCTCGCGATGCTGAGTGAGGCAGCGCGGCCCGCGGTTATTAATCTCTGCCTCAGAGGAGCTCCATGTTTTCCTCTCTTCAAATCATTGTTGGGGCGCGAGCAGCGATAAGGAATAACCGTGGGAAGAGTTAATGCGCGACTTCGCAGTGAAATATTGGTGTTTGCGTCCTAATCAGCAAAAGTATTTTGGTGGCGTGATTTGCGTCTATAAGTGCAGAGAGACTCGAGGGAAGCTCGTGAGTGATTTTAGAGAGGCCTTGTGTGTTTTTCTTGCGTGCTAACACCCTTATAAAAGAGAAAAAACCCAAGGTGTTCTCTCCGTAGGTTCTGATCTGTCGGAATTACCGCGGAGATGTGGACATGTCAGAGGTGGAGCATTTTATGCCGATCCTTATGGAAAAGGAGGAGGAGGGGACGCTTTCCCCTATCCTAGCACACGGAGGAGTTCGTTTCATGTGGATTAAACACAACAACCTGTATCGTATCCTTTGAGCTGCTGAAAGAAAGGCCAAGGGCTGCTCTTATTTTCTCTAGTGACAAAGTGCAAGTTGGAGAATGGCTGAAGTCACATAAGATGAAAAAAAATCTGGTTATCTAATAAAGTTGGTTAAATAAAATAGGTTGTACTAAATAAAGTTGATGTATGCTTTACATAATGTAATGTGCACCTGCAGTATAAGGTGTTTATATTAATTTTACTCTAATAAGCTCTTTACAAAAAGGTATTTCTGTTAATTTTACTCTAATAAATTATTTCCTGGAGGTTTATTTTCCCATCTCCTTAGATCAGAGGTGCTGTTAAATAATTAACTCTTAGTTTTTCTGGCCAACTCTAATTGCCTAAAGACTTTTTTAAATGCACTTAGTAATCCTTTTTTTTTTTTGAATGCACTTTTCCTGAACATCCTTTATCAGTTGTTGCAACATCTAAGAAGAATGCATGTGTATCACTGGTGTTTTCATTTTTATATAAAGTAGTTCAGGTGAGTATGAAATTTTGGAAGTAACCTCTGCCTTCAGTTCAGTCTGAATCTGACCTCAGATAGAAGTGCAAAGAGCTTTTGCATTTTTAAAGAACTCTGACAATAGCATTTTTACTTTATATTTGATTATTTTGTAGAACTATCTCCCTAACCACTAAAAAAGGCACTGATATTTTGTAGCTGAGTAGGCAAAGGATGGGGCAAAGTGCTGTAAGTAGTTGCACAAGACCTGAGCACCCAGAGGAGAATTGTGAATTGGTGCATGAGTAGTGGTGCCTCACAATAGAGCCTGTGTTCGGTTCATCTCTAACCTGCTGTGAAAAATATTTCCTCCAGAATAAATATTTTTCATCACAGAGTTCCTCCTGGGATTGTTTCTCTCTTGAGTTTTAAGTGAGGTGGGTTCCCTGATGCTGTTTGTGGAGTATGGGGTTTGGTTTGGAGCTTTCTAAAATGATAATTTCGGATGCAGGAATACATTCTGTGTGTGCTCTGCTTGCTCAGTTCATGTTCTTCTTCTCCCCCTCCCTCCTGTTGTTCTGTTTCAGGTTTTTTCTGAATATTTCAAGGAGTTGGAAGAAGAGAGCATTAGGGATAATTTTGTTATTATTTATGAGTTGTTAGATGAGCTTATGGATTTTGGGTATCCACAAACCACTGATAGTAAAATTTTACAAGAGTAAGTACCATTCTGCATCACAGTGACAAAGCCCTCGGAGAGTTTTGAGCATTCTTCTGTGGGCAAACAAATGTTTGGCTTGTTCTAAGTATCAAAAAAAGATTAATTTTCGTTTTTTTCATGCCAACCCTGTGGCTGGTGAAGGTACATCACTCAGGAAGGTCACAAACTTGAAACCGGAGCCCCACGCCCGCCTGCCACTGTTACAAACGCTGTGTCATGGAGATCAGAAGGCATAAAATACAGGAAAAACGAGGTGTTCCTGGATGTCATAGAGTCTGTTAACCTTTTGGTGGGTACCTCGAACTTGAACTCTTAATGAGAATTGTAGTGGGAAGTTTTATAAAGAGCTTTTTGTATGAAAGTCTGCAATGAAGGGTCAGACTGACTGTGGCTGGTGTGCTGTGCCACTCAAAGCAGCATCAGTCATTAAGATTAAGTAGTCTCAGGGACATCCAGTACAAATAATCCTTTAATTGTTTGTACTGATGATTTTTGAATATGTCTTTTCCTTCTGTGTGCCATCACTTCCCTGATCTAATTCTGCTGTGCTGGATTAATTCCTCAGGAGAAACACATCCACGAAAACCCCGGGGCGTGGGGATGGGGTGGGAGTGTTGCTTGATGTCCCAGCATGCCACATCAGAGCAGTCTTACCTTTCCGTGCCTCTTTGCTCAGGTGAGTGCCAACGGGAACGTGTTACGGAGCGAGATCGTCGGCTCCATCAAGATGCGGGTGTTCCTGTCGGGAATGCCGGAGCTGCGCCTGGGGCTCAACGACAAAGTCCTCTTTGACAACACGGGCCGTGAGTGTCCTGGTGGTGGTGCTGTGATAATCATGAGGGGTGGGATCTGGAGCCTGAGGCCTGGGGATAGCAAGGAAATCACAGAATCGTTAAGGTTGGAAAAGCCCTCTGAAATTAAGTCCAACCATTAACCAACACCGCCAGTAAACCGTGTCCCCAAGTGCCACATCCACGTGGCTTTTAAATCCCTCCAGGGATGGTGATTCCACCGCCTCCCTGGGCAGCCCCTTTCAATGCCTGACCAACCTTCCAGTGAAGAAATTCTTCCTGATGTCCAGCCTGAACCTCCCCTGGCACAATTTGAGGCTGTTTCCTCTCATCCTGCCTCTTGTTCCCTGGGAGCAGAGCCTCACTTCCCCTGGCTCCCGCCTCCTGTCAGGGAGTTGCAGAGCCAGAAGGTCCCCCCTGAGCCTCATTTTCTCCAGGCTGAGCCCCCCCAGCTCCTTCAGCTGCTCCTGGTGCTCCAACCCCTTCCCCAGCTCCATTCCCTTCTCTGGACATGCTCCAGCCCCTCAAAGTCATTCTTGTCATGAGGGGCCCAGAACTGGACACGGGATTCGAGGTGTCTCAGCAGTGCCCAGCACAGGGGGACAATCCCTTCCCTATTCCTAGAAAGTGTTGGCTAGAAGGGAGGACTGTCAGCAGGCAGCAGCTTTGCTCTGGTGAGACTTGGGCCACAGTTTGTGCAGGACCTTGACCTGTGGTGTTTTCTGCCAGGTGGGAAAAGTAAATCAGTAGAACTGGAAGACGTGAAGTTCCACCAGTGCGTTCGTCTCTCCCGCTTCGAGAACGACAGGACCATCTCCTTCATCCCCCCTGACGGGGAGTTCGAGCTCATGTCCTATCGTCTGAACACCCACGTGAGTCTGGATGTTGGCTTTTTTAAGGGAGAGTGCTTTAAATTGTAACCACAATGGCTTTCCCTTAATTTTATTTTATTTTTTTTTTCAAATCTCGGCCAGTACAAGAGTTTTTAAGTCAGCTGTTAATAGTTTGCTCTTTTTGGAGGAAGAAGGAGTAAAGAAGTAACTTGGCAATAAGTCTCTGTATTTTCAACTACTATTCAGTAGTTTTTAAATACTCTTGACTTTTTTATGTTTTCTAAATACTCTGTTTTTTTCATCTAACTACATAATGAAATGTCAGTGTAACCATTCATTGTGCTTTACAACAGAATTTATCACTTAGTTTTATCAGTGTGTCAGTCCCAGTGATAAGGATGCCTTTCCCTTCAGAAAAGGAAAATCTCAATCTACAGAGGGTCTATAAGATGCTATAAACGTCGAGTTATTTTTTTATTTTAAGGGCAATGCTTTGAATTAGAGTTATTTTTAAGTCTTAGAGGGATTTTTAGGGCTTTTTAGAGCTTCATACTGGGGACTGAGCTGCTGTAGTTCAGTCCATGGTATGTTAAACTATCAAGTATTTTCCTATGCAAGTGTTTGTTATTAGGGGTTAATGTGAGCCACACATTTTTAAGCTTATAATTCTTGTAGCATTTGCTCATTGGTGTATCAATACTTGCTCATTTGTACAATTATTTCTTTTAAATTAAACCACGACTTTTTGTCATTTTGGACACCACAGGCTCTGTTTTCTGTGGAGTTCACATGTTGAGTGTAACTTTATGAAGCAACATTTTAGTGACTGTTTCAGGTGAAACCCAGAGCTGTGAAGTGTTTTTTTTCCCCCATCAGGTAAAACCCCTGATCTGGATCGAGTCTGTGATTG